TTGAGCGCGCTCACGTATTAGGCTTGACTGAGCCTCAAGCTCACGCGCGTTGCTCGGCGTTTGAGCTACCCAGGGAGCCTCTGGCAGAGCTGCTGGAGGAGTAGGTGTACGCAGTTGTACATCTACCTTTGATAGAACAGCCTCTGGTTGTAGAGGAACAAGGCCTGCGCCGCGGAAGGCTGAGCAGATATTGGCTGGCGTGAACGCTTGATCAAATGCTGCCTTGAACGCTGGCAGAAACTCTAGCTTGGTGATGTGGTTGATGTGGTTGCGCATAAGGCTCTCCACCTCACGGCTGTACGCGCGCTTCAATGGCGAGAAGCAGCCAACATCAAGTGGCTGGAGTAGGTGAGATGAGTGAGGAGGCATACAGAGCGTATGGATATTGTTCTCCTTGCAGAGCTCCTGGAACTCTAGAGATTGGTGGCTCTTATGGCCATCAATAATAAGCAGGCGACGCGCGCCTACACTACGAGCCTGCGTGTGAGCGTTGAAGTGCTTTAGCCACTCAACTCCAAGCTCATTATTCGTCCAGCCATTATCGCTGACTGCGATCGCCCAGTCGCGTGGGATCTCAGCTTCCTTATACCAGGCTGATAGGTGGTACTGGCCAGCGAAGATGAGGAACGGTGGGACTGACCAGCCAGCAGCGCTGATAGCAGCGATCAGCGTTACCCACTCGCGATTGCCTGGCTGAATACTCTTCGGCCTGCCTCTCCTCTCTGCTCCTGTTATAACTAGCTGCGTTGTAATCTTGCCCATCATAAAGCCAGCTTCATCAAAGTTGTAGACGTCCTCATCGCAGATACCTAGCTCAGCCTTTGTCTCTTCTACAAGCTTAAACCACCTCTTTATTAATGTTGCATCCTCACAAAGAGCTCTCTGCCTATCGTACGCTTGGTTGAAACACGTCCGAAGACTGTCTGTACGCTTAACAAAGGTAGATGGCCAGTTGACTCCAACCTGCTCTCCACCACGCGCAGCCAGCAGCTTATCAGCCATATCACGTACAGCTGTGTAGGTAGGCGCAAATCCACGCAGATCTAGCTGAAGTATATAGCTAATAATCACCTCCTCTTCTCTCTGGGTAAGCTTCCTTGAGTTGGGCGGGCAATCGCGTCGGGCAGGTATACCAGCGCGTCGGCGGCGGAGCGTTGTTTCGGCTACGTTGTAGACTACTGCAGCAGTACGGGTACCTTGGATCTGGTGCGCATTAATAGATGAGATAGCAAGCTGAATATCTGCTTCATTTGATAGTAATTGAGTAGCGCTGCGTTGAGCCATTGTAGATTAAGATCAGTAAGGTGAGTAAAGTTGGTGGGGTGCGCCGCTCGCCCGTGTGCGCCGCTCGCCCATGGATCATGTTAGGGTGTTTGTGTTGTTTGTGTTTTTGTAAAGTCTCGGGATCTTGTACATAGAGATACCCAACATAACCCACATGCATGTGGTGCTTACATGGTCATGTGACGTTTTCCTTTTACTATTACCATAACATGATATCGGAAGGTAAAGGGGTAGAGAAGCCCCTTAAGCCGGCTGGTAATTCTTCATGCTACGACTATACCTAGCCAGGTTTTAGCCAGACTACCCTGGTACGTTCAATGGCCCCATAACAATATTAGCACTTTCTATATTTGCATTTCATGGAATCTTGACTCCACTTCAGCCCCATCTTTACGTTCGCGTTTGTGTACTTCGCTAAGGGCGGCGATCCTGTGCGGCAATAAAGCGACTGCGTTTCGTTTCTGCTTCCACTTCCATGACCCCCGCATCCCTGCCCCGCCGCTCATCATCTACGACTCGGCGGTCAAGACGGAACATGCCGCGGCCAAGTGATCCGGAGATCGATCGAGGGATATCATTCGCGAGTGGACAGAATGCGATGAAACGAACGCGTGTGTCAGTCATGCCTCCGGAAATGAGGGTCCCAGCAATGGGTAGGGCAGACAGAAACAGAAAAACATTTAAATCGCTTAAATAAGAAGTACTGGTAGTTATGCTCCCAAAAAAACCTAGCTCGCTTGCTTACGTAAAAGGCCAATTTACCATTACAAGCTACAGTATTGTACACGGTGTACTCAAGGAAATCCCGCCCTGCATCTAATCTATGTCTATGCAAAAGAACCACTGCATCTCCAGGCAACTTTATGCCTCGTCAGAGTCGTCATCGGCGCTAACGTAGCCCATGTCTACCATGTGCTTAACAATATCGTACGTGGCAATTCCAAAGTTGCTGGTTCTACTCAGAATGAGCTTGGCGTTGACGTATTTGTGGTAATTGCCCATGGAGAAGGCATGCAGCATGTACGAGGCTGAGAAATTCATCTCCCACTCGGCGCGCCTTCTTCGATTCTTGACTGCATTTTCGTACAGCTCCATCGGATCCGTCGAGTTGATGTGCTCGGGCACGGGAGACGGGTCGCCGTCGTTGGGCAGGAAGAGCGGATCGGTGCTCTCTCTGAACCAGTGTGTGGGCGCGAAAGCGTTGCGGTCAAGGATGAGGACCTCGTACGGAATCGGGACAAGGCGCTCGGCGATCAACGTCATGCTTTGCAGGTTGGATTCCCACGCGCTGTTGAAGGCGGCGTGTTGCTCGCGCACGACGATGCGCGCCATGGTGCTGTTTGGTATCGTCATCAAGACTCCGTTGTTGATGGTTCCGTTTATGCCTCCTGTTTCCCCAGCGCCACCATAGTGGCGGCCGCCGATAAACGCGAAGCCAGCGTTCAATATGGGCGTCAGCGGCCGCAGCGGTATCACGTCCCAGTCCATGTAGATGCCTCCTCTCTTTTCGATGCCTTCCCAGCGGATGAAGTCGGACTTGTGCTGGATGGCAGAGATTTGCTCGTTCTGGTTTTGACCGGCAAAGGTGGGCGCGCGGACATGGTTCCAGATGAGCTTGTCTGCGAAGGTGTTGATGACGGCCTTGGTCCATTTGTCACCCCGCGCGCTGGCGATGTTGATATCCGAGTCGTTGAAGTCAGTGTGTATGTATATCTGCGTCGGCTTGATGTACAGTACTGCGGCGCACATGGTCAGGAAGTGGTAGAACCGGAAATGCAGAACAGAGTCTGCCTGTTTCTTGAGCTGTACATAGTGTACAATGCTGGGTATAGGATCATGTGCGGGGCTCTCGGTAGACTGAAATATCCCGTATTGCCTCGCCTTTTCTGCGGGGTGTAGAGTGGCTGTGAGGATAGCGAACAGGAAGATGAGGCAGGTTGCCGATACGATTGTCAGACGGGTCCGGGAGCTTGTGACGGGTACGTAGCCTAATGGCATGTACTGATACACAGATTTTTGCGGCTTTAGGGCGTTGTAGTACGTGCGAAGTTGATTCCACATGGCGATGGGGTGGGCGAGTACCTCGTCACACAGAAAGATTCAGAGGGACTAACTGGCATAATAGTAGAAAACCAAAAGGAAATTGAAATCAGAAAGGACGAGATGACGCGTCTGACACCGACAGTTTCAGAGATTGGCCTAGGATGTTCCTGGGCATGCTCACATCATCATTGTATAGGGCCGAATTCGTCTTACGGTACACCTCCACCGAAGCTGACGGCCGAGCGAACCACATGGAAATCCGATCTCCCTGCCAAAATGCGATCAAAACTTTGAGCCATGCACGGAAATGATAGGATTATCTATTTCCCACTCTTCTTCCCTGTCAATACTCAAAATCCACATCCTCCCTCGGCTACCTTCACGATACATGTCCAGCACACTCTACTGTTTTCGCAACTACAACACTTTCGACTCGCTCGTCATCAAGGTCCTTGTCCAGCAAATCGGTTCGGCTCGCTTCGCCAGAGAAAAGGCGGTCCACGTCTTCCAGCTCAAGTCCCTTGGTTTCGGGAAAGAAGAAGAAGATGATCGGCACCCAAAGACCATTGAGCACGGCGAAGATGATATACGTCTTCCATCCGATATTGCTGATCGCACGAGGTGTGATTTGCACGATGATATAGTTGCATATCCAGTTCGCGGCCGTCGAGATGGCCGAACCACGCTGTCGCAGGCGTAGTGGCAGAATTTCGGACGGATACACCCACACAGTAGCCTGAAAGCCGATGGTGAAAGCGCCCTGGAAGATGAACAGCATGGCGGCTGCTGCGATACCTGCACCCTTTGCCGATGCGGTCTTGTATTGTACCTGATAGATGAGCCCAGATTGTACTGCCATGACGGCAGCCATGAGACTGATCATGGAGAGGAGCAGCGGTCTTCTGCCGACCCGGTCGATGAGGAACCATGGGATGAATGAGGCGACAAAGAACCAGGTCTGCAAAAAGCCACTCATCAGGGCGGACATGTGAGTATCGAAGCCGATGCTCTTCTGGAAGAGGGTTCCGGAATAATCTGTCGTCGTTAGTAGTGTTTGGTCCAACTCGATTGCGCCTACTCACAAATAATGGCGTTGATACCACCAAGTTGCTGGAACATTTGGATGCCGCAAGCGATCAGGAAACGTCTCCTGGACTTGATTGGGTCGCTCCGAACGATGTCCTTCCACCCTGCTTGTCTCGACTGCTCGAACGCAACGGTTTCGGTGATGACGGTGTGAAGCCTCTGCACCTCGGGGTCGGTCTCAGGTACGTCTGCCACGCGTGCCAAAACCCGCAGACATTCATCCGGACGATCGTGGGCCGCCAGCCATCTTGGTGTCTCTGGAATGACAGTCAACAACCCAAGAATCGCCAGGACGATGATGCATTGCAGGATAGTAGGTATGCGCCATGCATAGTCCGAAGTATGCGAAACAAACGCATAGTCGATCCAGTATACCAAGAAGATACCGAAGTTCAGCGTCGACAGCTGCGCGCAAACGTAGATACCGCGACTCGCTTTGGGGCTGAATTCGGCTTGCATCACAGGCACGGTCGAGTTGATGATACCCAGACCAACACCTGAGACAATGCGACCGACGATGAGGTGTGCCCTTCCGTATGCGGTAGCCTGGAGGAGGGCGCCGAGAATGCTGATGACAGCGCCAATGGCGACACTCTTGCGACGACCGAGTTTCTCTCCAATTACTGCTGTTGCCATGGCACCAAAGAAGCAGCCGACTGTACCAACGTTACTTGTGCACCCGTTATTCACTGATTCCAATCACTCACTCTCGAAAATGGCTACGATAGTGCCAATCATATCCGAGGATGGGTGGTCAAAGGTCTTGTTGAAGGCTGGCGCGCCAACCAATCCGCCCATGAGACCATTGTCGTATCCAATTAACATGAATCCGAGCGACGTGAGGACGCTGATGGTGAGCATAAGAGCTCGGCCCCTGAGTTCCGGCATGATGTGCGTTTCGATAGCCACCTGCGCACTTTCTCGTTGTGTCTGCGTCCCAAGGAGGTGGGGGGATAAGTTTTGTCGCGCAGTGATGACAGTCATATATATATTCCTAGGGTCTGGACATATACGGGGCGGCCCACTAGCTCAACTGGTGTCTGCCGGACCGACCCCATGGGGTCGACTAGCCATGCATTCCCCGCGGAATTTGATCCTCAAGGTGGAGATTCTACGAACTGTTGTGAGCTCGGCATTGTGGTTCTCGGTCACCCGTAGTTCATCGATCACTCAAAGCGAATAAAACTCCCATATCAACCACGAGACCTATACTTGCTACTGATAACACTCACATTGAGACGCCGTATTTGCGGTAGCTGTGTCCACCGCGAGTGTGTCACTGAAGCGTCACCGAAGCGTTCATCTGGCCGAAACCTACGCATATGACCGGGGTTATACCACAAATGCGTAAACGATGTTGGGCGGAGATCAGACGATTTACCCAGACGATCTGTCTGATTGGCAGTGATCACGCTTGTCAGGGTCTAGGGCTTATCCTGCCAACGTGCGCATAGAGTTTGGCCGACACATGACCGAGCTACCGCGCGTCCAGTCCGACACCGTGTTCGACACCAGTCAAAAGCCGCGTCGGACCGACGCTTCCAAAAAGAGGCTATCGGCAATTGACTCAATTACCGCACTTGTGTGCGTTGTCTGTAGGCAGCACCTGATCAGATGCCGAAACGCGCCTTGGACAAGATATTTACAATCGGCCGCATTCCGGTGACATTAGTGGCACTGAGGTCTCGACGACATCGTATACTCTTGAAGACTCATCCCAGCTCGCTTTTGATCCGCTAGTCTTACACATCTGAGCCTAATACAACCTACGCAACCATGATTCTTCCTTCTTGGGTAAAGATACACGATTCTACAGCAAGAGATATACTCGGACATGAGACAAAACTCGATCTGCTTCTTGAGAAGACCAATTGTCCCTTTGCACACGAGGCGGGTGTATACGTACCGGAGGATGATTCTCTTTGGATCACCAGCAACCAATATCCACATCCAGAGACGGGAAAACCTCACATACACATCTCGCGTATTCAACTACCTTCGAGCGCCGACAGCGCCAAGACAGAGTACTCGGAGATAGACGTAACCGATGTCCCTCTGCCAAATGGCGGCGTGAACTACAAGAACGGTGTATTGTTTTGTGCACAAGGAACGCTTGACACACCTGGAGGTATAGCCTTCATGCCACTGGCCCCAAGCACCGGCTCGACCTATGAGGCCAAGCTACTAGTTTCAAGTTTCCATGGCCGCCCTTTCAATTCGCCAAACGACGTTGTTGTACACTCGGATGGCTCCATATGGTTCACGGATCCAATCTACGGCTGGGAGCAAGGTATCAGACCACGGCCCAGGTTGCCGAATCAAGTGTATCGGTACGATCCTGCAACAGAGAACGTTCGTCCAATAGCAGATGGGCTTTGTAGACCGAATGGAATCTGCTTTAGCCCGGACGAATCGACCGTATACATTACTGATACGGACTGGATTCATGGGGACGGTACCACAGATGAGATGAGAGTATCGCACATGTGAGTAGCTTCCTTCACTTGAGTTCCCGTTACAGCAATCTTCTCCGACACGAATACAAGTAGCATCTGGTCCTACCTAATCATGCTAACAGCTGCAACTCTTACTAGATATGCGTACGACGTAATCGTTCGATCTCGTCAGCCTTTTCTTGCCAATCGCCGGCTCTTTGCCATGGCAGATACAGGCATACCCGATGGCATCAAGTGCGACACCGATGGCAATGTGTATAGCGGGTGTGGTGATGGGCTGAATATATGGTCTCCAGGGGGTGTGTTGTTGGCCAAGATCCTAATCGAGGGGGGCGTCGCGAACTTTTGTTTTGGCAGGGATGGACAAGTGTTTTTGCTGAACGAGACAAGACTATGGAGACTGCAGTTGGCTAAACATCGGAAAGGCGCGTTGCTGAGGCTCTGAATGACGAATTTGAAGCTTTCCTTGCAAATTGTATCTTTTCTTTCACTGGTTCTGGAAATCATCTATAATGTTTACAATACAAATTGTTCTCTCTCTCCACCTTGATGCCCAAAGCTTGTATCTTCCAGAAATTGGAGTTTCACGCAATTGATAAGTCTTAAACATGAGCTTAGGATCAAAGGATGGTATTCTTCAAGTGCCGATCCTACAGCCTATGCCGGCACTCATTGTACATACAAGGTGATACTATGGTGGCCTGGCAAAAGCTCAGTCCCCTCGGTAGAATGATTGAGCCCTTTCATCGCCCATCCTGCAGGCATCTTCAGAGTTCCCGTCACATTCGCGGGGACGTCTACAGTAAGTAGGGCGCTCAGCCCATCAATGCTCCAAGTTGCGTTGATACCTCCAAATGGCGTTGGAACTCTACCTGCCGCTTTCTTCAAACCGAGATAGCCAACTGCGGGTTGCAACACAAACTCCTTGTATCCAGGTGTAACCGGCCGAACACCCAATAGATACTCAGGAAGCACATACGAAGGCGCTGCTCCCCACGGATGCGCCAAGCTCGTGAAAAGATCTATGCCTGGTGAACCATATGGCTTCACATACTCCCAACTTGCGCCTGAGGAGTATGAATCATTGTTCACCATGCTGGCCCACAGCCCATCGAGAAGATGCAGCGTAGCAGCAGTGCTGTTAGTTTGGTGTTTCTCAGAAGTCTGGAAGAGGGCTTCGAGAAGAAAGCCAGATGGATTGGGTGCAAGCTGGTAGTTGCTAGATTTCTCATCAGAGGAAATAGTCTTGTATCCTACCCCAAATCGCAATTCTTCCAGTTTTCGGATAGATGAGCTTGCCTGATCGCCGTTGGCTGCTCCGGATAGCATGGCCCAGGCAATTCCTGTAAGAGAGAAGTTCCCTGGCGAGCCCAGAGACAAAGAATAAGTCTCCAAGCTCGGGTTCCACAATTTATCGTTGATTGCGTCTCGTAACCCGGAAGCTGTAGAGTTGAACTTCGATGCAACTTCAGCATCGCCCATGTCAAGCGCTAGAGGAACAAGCAGATCCATCGTAAAGGCAAACAGTCCGGTCACTGCACTCCCATTGGCTGGCCCCAAGAAGCTCGCTGGATTTGGAACCTCAGGACTGCCAGCAACGAGGCCTGAAGACGGGTCGATGAAGGTAATCCTAGCTTCAGCGAGCTTCTTGATGCTATCCCAATGCTTTCTCAAGCCCTTTGTGTCCCCTGTGTATCGGAAATACTCTCCGATACCTGCAAGAAACAGGTCCTGGTAGTCGACCAATCCTGTCCAAGTGGGGTTTGCATCTGTGTATTCTGGTCTTGTTCCAAGACTAGTCGAGATGGGAACAAAGCCAGCAAATGGTCCTGTGTCTACTTGATAACTCAAGGCATATTCGATACTGCCGATGATGTAGTCCCACCGAGCGGTAGTTTGAGCAAGCACACGAACAGTGTGGTAGAAGTCGCCGATCCAGACGAGTCGGTCTCGCTTTGCGCCATCAAGACATACTGAGTGATTCAAGGGTGCCACGCCGTATTCCACCAACACTTTCTGCGAAGTCATTGGATTACTGTAGATCTGAGTTCCATTCGCAGCTGTGACGGAGACATTTGATACGACAGAGATCTGGTCCTGGAAAGCGCCGAATCCCCAAGTACCTTCATACCTTGAAGCTGAACGGAAGAGAAAATCGTTGCTTGGAGGTGGTAAAGCAACTACGGCGATTTCGATCCCATTGAGCTGCACGTGGTAGCCGTCTTCCTGAATTGAAGTGCTAATGTGATGCCATTTCTCCTCTTCGACTGTGATGTTCAAAGGATAGTACTTATTGCCCGGTGTTGGCAAGCTGCTCTGGTTTACCAAGCTCCAATCACTGTTGAAGATAAGAGTGTTTGGCGGTAGTAAAGTTCTGTTTGTATTCCGGAAAGCGTTATTGTCGGGATAATTGGAAGTCAAGAGGAAGTAAGGTCCGATGGGTGAGATCCCACTGCCAACTCTCCAACCAGTTCCTCCTCGCGTGATCTTGGTGTCGAAAGAAAGTGTGTAGTTTGCGGCTTTCAACAAGACACCCTCAGCAGATTGTGCGCTTGTCTGACCACGGATCAAAGCGCCCTTGTCGGTTATTTCCCAAGTAGACGGTGCATTGCCCTTGTCCACACAGGCTACTTGTACAACACGGCCGCCCAGATCAAATATCCGGTTGTAAATGTCGTTGCTTGTCGTCATGTGTCCTGGCAGCTCGTTGGCATCTGTATGCTGGCCTGTCGCTCGCATTCCGATGCTCTCAATGGTCACCGAACTGTTGGTCAGAAGACGAACAGATTGCCATCTTTGTCCACCTTGGATGAAGAAGCTCTCCGTGTAGCCAACAGTCGACACATTGAACGTTTCCACCCGAAATGAGTTGGACAAGCCGTTTGAAAATGTCCATGGCCCGTCGCCAATTGGGTTTGAAAGAGCGACTAATGACTCTCCATATTTGAACTCGAGCTGAACAGCAGCAGCAACGTCCGATGTGCTAATGAATGGAAACCCAGCAACCTCGGTACCGTAATCGAGTATGATCATAGGGTTCGATGGTGTCAACACGATAGTCGAGGTGCTGTCGTATGGTGTTCCACTCGTCGATCCTGAGGTATACGTTTTGGGATGAAGGATTCCATAGTCAACGAATCTACACAAGTCAACCAAGCAAGAAAACATCCATGGAAAGTCCTTACGCGTGCACAGATGCGAAACAGATACCCGCGACGAACAATTTATTGCAAAGCCTCATGTTTACACCTTGAGAGCTGCTTCAGCGCTGTATTCCCAAAGTCGCCACGTGAGAAATCCGTTCATTTTATATTCCGCATCTACCTCACATACTCATGCCAAGTGATGGAGAAATCTGGGGTAACAGCACCATGTGGGCCGCTAGGTGCATTGGCGTTCGGAATGTGGGGGTCCGGGGTATCTTCGAACCGATGTTTCGGCTGGACTGTCACCGACCCGATCCGTGAAATGATCATTGCTGCCGAACATTAAACCAGCCACTCTGAGATGTCTTATCCCTATCCAAGGCGCCTTACATGACCAACTCTATCGCGACCTTGGCAGCGTCAAGTTCTTTGCTAGAGAATCGGGAGTAAGGTATAAATGGCAGGTCTGAGGACAGCCGCACTCGAAAGTATGGTCGAAAACGGCCGATCAAGGCCGTTGCCGAGACTTCTCGGTTGAGTACGCGTGAGATTCTCATCGCTGTTGAGAGCTCGCCACTGCATGCGATTAGCACGCTAGAATCACTAGATTTTTCTTGACAGTAAATGATTGTATATGTAAGTGATGTCTATGCTTAGCAGCAGATTTTCACAACGCAGTTTTGTTGTAACAACAATATAAGTAAGTTAAAGTACTATCCCTATACCTTAAACTTAGTAGAATATAGTATTTGCTTAGTAAGTATACGCGGGCAGGGCTGCCTTCAGCGTACACAATGAGCTTAACAGTAAATATTATTGGAGCTACATAGTTACGCTATTCCTACCCACGGCCCTGATTCCAGAGAGGTAATTGTGAAAGATCTCGGTAGAGCTGTCGTAAATATCATGTAATCGGTGATTCTTCAGCTTAGTACTCAGCTGCTAAGATCTACAATACATCTAATCTTGGTTTAGCTTCCATACAAATACAATGGCGCGTAAATCGTTGACGCTATCGATGTTTTTGGGCTTATGGGGGTGTCATTTACCTTATTATGGTGGTGTCCGATAATGTTTCCCGAGCTTTGTGGCTTGCCGGCGACGAGGATGTGAAATTATTGACTAATACGAGCTTTGAGTGTTACTACGTTTGAGAACGTAGATCCTTTTTATATGGGGATAAAGTGGAGATATTAACCAAGATAAGCATTGATGCTTCCCAGCGGTAAGAACTTAGATCTAACACTAGACGGAGATCATAAGCTTTGATGCTTACTAACGATACGAACGTAGATCTAACTCTAGATGGGGATAAAGTGGAAAAATTGACCAACACAAGCTTTGATGCTTACTAGCGGTAAGAACTTATATCTGGGTCTTAATACGACCTCCGCCGGGTATCCAGTGCAGATGTCAATCAACCAGAGATCCTCATCTTACTACGGGCCGGAACATAAGCATTTGACGCTGATGCGGTGTCGGATATACGAGCATAATTTGATGAAAAGCTACTACATGCTGCATAACATTTGTAGGATGGATATATAGTGTTCTCTCAAGACTGAACTATCTCAATATCAAATACAATCCGCTCTTCTTCCAGACACATTACTCTCTGCAACGTTTATTGCGCAATTCAATATGCACTTCTCGACTCTCCTCCTCCCTCTCTATCTCCTGGGGCTCGCCGCAAGCTCCCCTGCTCATGGAGTGAACTCTGGTAATTCAGTTACCAGGGGACTAGACCCTGATCTCCAAGGTAAGGACAACATACCAACCTAAGCTATGCATCAGCTAATGATACCACAGCCTATATTGACTCTACAGGCATCTAGCTTGCCGATGGCGATTCTTCTGTGAAGATACGCTCTGGTAATTTTCCTGGGAGAAGTCTCTTACAGAGCTGACCTAGAAATGAAGATGCCACTGTTGACGAACCTTCGGTTCACCAACGGTCTCTCGAACGCCGTACGTCACCTCAGCAAAGCAATATTGATGTTTCTTTGAACTAAGATGACCAGGCGAAACCGCCGATTTTTCACCCGGCAGGTCGTACACGCGCAGATTTGTCAAGACCTTGGTGATCCAAGGAGTCTCGGTCATTATGTCTGCCTGGTACGACAGTGCGATGATACTTTATGTCCAGTTGGAACCAGCCTTTCCTAACTGTAAGAAAACGTTACCCTATCTGATCGATCTATATGCTAATTTCAATAAGCGGGTATCTCAGTCAAGGCTGGAGTCGAGGACTCTGAAACGCATTACAAGACAAAGATCGTCGAATTCTTTTGGGAGGAAATCATCTACTGGAGATCTACAAAGAATCGCACCTGGAAGTTTGACGATCTTCTAAAATTCATATGGTAGGGGGCAAACAAGGAAGAGCTCGGTACATGGAGCTCTAGTCAAAATCATGTGACCGATGGTTCTTCTGGTTGGTATGCCAAGTAAGGATATCATAGTACTATAGAGGAACCAGACAATCTCCGCTCGCATACGAATATCCTCTACTCCCGGTACTTGGAGTAGACAGGATAGGAGTCACAGGTCAAATCTTATCTCAACCATATCCACAATCTGTACAACCTTAGCAGTGATGTCACAACTCCTCAAGCTTTGCTTAACGCTCTGTGGCAACCTTCTCTTCGCAAATCTTTCCCTAGCTAATGCCTCTCTCATATTGTTACATGTACAATTAAATACCTATAGATGCCATACAAAAGAAAAAACAAACCCGGTACAATCCTCAACCGGTATCCACCACGTACCTAAAACACGATTTTCGAACACATTTTCTCAGTACGGAAATGTATCTTCCAGATCTTCTCTACCTGTGGATTAGTCAGAGTAAACACCATCACAATACTACCCCACACTACATCACGAACGCCCCTAAACTCTCAACATGACCAGTAACGACATAATGAGATCCTAGATACCGAACCTCTACATTCACAGTAAAGCCGCCATGATCGATGTAAGAGTGTAAAATTGTCATGATCCAGGTACGACTGCAACCCCTTATTAGAACTCTGATAAAAACTATGTAACCGATAATCCTTCAATTTGGTCCACCAAAGATGGGTACCAAGGTCATGATCGACGAAGGGTACCATCGAAAATCCCAACACTATCATGGCGCAGCATATCAGCCTCAGGAGATCTCTGAGATAGAGTTCAAGTTTAAAATCAGACTTAAAACATCCAAGACAGCACTATAGAATACGCTAAATAGGGTTTATAGGCTCTGAACTTGGTGTATCAACATATCTTAAGACGAGTGAGGTGGATACAGCACTCGTCTCATTGATACACAAGACATGATCATCAAGGGGCGCGAAATAAAGGAAACATGTCAACTCGCCAGCCCACCGCATCACCACACTAAACGAGCATCACATACCACCATTCTCTCTATACAGACTTGCCATCTCCCACCCAACGCAGAACTATCCTCCATGACCTTACACGAGCACATCAAACAAGTCCAACATGACCAAAAACTACCCGTTTGATAAATAACAGTTGGTATACACAAAACAAAGACCCATCCCTCCATCAACAAAGCGGACACGTCAACCCCATCCTCCCTTGCAACCTCCCCGCCACCTCCTCACCACCAAGTCCATTCGCAGCAACATCCAACCCACCACCTACATCCCTGTCACCGCTCGCTCCCGCCCCATCACCACCACCAAGCCTCTCCTCCAAACACCGTCTATGCCACAAATGCCTACAAGCAAACAACACTAGCGCCTCCCCCCTCAACTCCTCCACCTTGCCATCCTCCAAAACATCCGCCTGACTAGGCCTCTTCCCCTTCCACTTCCCACCAACAGCCTCATCACCCGCACCATCCTCCCTACTCTTCCTACGCCCCTCCTCGCGTTTTTCCCACGTCTCCCACACGCCTGCGCCAGCACCTGGTCCCCACGCCCTCTTCTTACACGCCTCGCAAACCTGGCCGCGGGGCCGCCACCCGCGCTTGCGCAACTCTGTGATGTCGTGGACGTGGGCGAAGGACTCCTTGTCGAGGAAGCGGTTGGCGAGGCTGAGAATGGTTTCTTCGAATGTGTAGGCGGCGAAGATTTCGGAGAGGACGGAGCGGAGGTCTGAGAGCGAGGGTGAGTAGGTGTGTGTGGCGCGGGTTAGGAAACAGCGGAGGATGCGCAGGAAGGAGGGGTTGGAGTGTGGTTGCTGTTGTGGGTGGCGGAGAGGTGGGAGGGCGGCGGTGGGGTTGTCGGACGTCGAGGTGCGGTGGTGGGTTGGTTTTTTTGTTGGGGGGATGGTGGTGGATGTGAGGAGGGCGGAGAAGGTCTGTTGGATTGAGGATCGGAGGCTGGATACGATGCGTGCTGTGTCTACGGTGTCGGCCTGGTTGATGTTCGAGGATGAGACGAGGCTGTCGTGGGCGGCTACGGCGCTCGATGTATCTCTGATAAGGCGCACGGATGTGTCGACGAGTTCAAGCCAGAGCAGCTCGTCTAGCGCGAGATCTTCCTCTCGGACTTCACCATAGGCCGACTTCCGCCTGTCGATTGTCGATTCTGGTACGCGTTCTCTTGAGCGTGTCTGCCCTTGGCATAACCATATGCCCACCTTGATGTACTTTTCTATGTCTTCAAGAAGATCGTGAACCGCTTCCTCCGTGTTGCGCACGTCGGGTGTTTCCGCTGCAGCGCCAATGAGGCCAGTCAGAGCAGTCTCAAGTGTGCCCAAATGCTTCACCAAGCGATCCATGGCGCCTTGCACGAGTCCATCGCGGGCCATGAGTATAACAGCTGCGTCCACGACACCGCTCTTCTCCAGCGCTGGCAACACGGGGTCTAACCGAAGGTCACCGGACTTCAGCAGGCTGACGAAATCGGCTACATGTGCGCTGTTGTAGGTGCACATAAGTTGTACATATCTTTCGATGAAACCAGGCGGGAGGCTCTCGTCGATGGGTGTCGTCGCGTCAGACTGGGCTTGCTCTGGTTCGATGAGAGCCTCCAGGTAGTGATATTGAGCATCAGCGTCATCCTGTATAGCATCCAAGACTGGCTTTAGGAGGTCTGGCGCATGTTGCTTGAGTGTTTTGGCAGTTTGCGAAGCGTCCACCGCGGCAATGTCGCGAGCTCTGTTGACAATGACTACCTTGACCTCATTAACCTGCTTCTTGATAAGACCTTGGCTAGGCCGTAGTATCTGAGCAATACACTCAAACACTGCATCCTCATCATCTTCGTCGTCCAGATACGTCTCAAGGAGTCTAGCGTATTGATGTGCGCCCCGATAAACAGCCTTGAGCACGCGATGGAATCCAGCTTTCTCAAACATCGGGACGAGATTTTGTGGGTTCGGTGGATGGTATATGGAGAGGAGGTACTCAACAGAGAGCTGACAGTCTTCCTTGATGGCTTCTGTGGGATAGTTGCAGAGTCCTATCAGGATTTGGTGCAACGAAGTTCCGGGAAGCATGATGTGCTGCGGGTACTTGGGCAAGTTCCGCGCTACAAACATGTAAAAGTAAATGATATCTTCCGGTTCAAAGTTGTCAGTGTTCATGATGCCAAAGAGGTAGTTGATGATGGACTGTCGTGTCGGTGTGAGTGCAGATCCATGTGAGGCGCCGTTGACTTGCGTCCCATTCACCGCGGCCTCTTCACCGTTCAAGAAGCTATCTTCGAATGCCTCGTTGAGCATACTCATGAAACTTGCAGCATCAAACTCCAAGACTAGTTGTAGATACGGAAACGGTGGCTCAGGACTCCCATCTGACTGAGTGGTAATGACTTCGCCCGAGCCTGGTGGCCACTGGAGGTTCTTGCCGGAAAACAAGAAGCGATACATGTCTTTCTTGGCATTATAAGCTTGTTCGTCGTCCATGAAGGTACCTCCGGGATATACCCGTCCAGTGAAGGTATATGCAAGATACGGAAAGATTTTCTTCGCTGCAGAGAGGTAAATGTTTTCCGACTCGTCCACTTCAAAGTCGACGAGCTTGATCAGTTCCAGGATATTGGTAAGTGGTGTGATGTAGTCCCCAATGGCTCGTGTCCAGACGTATATCAGCGCATCGTAGAGAACGTACTGCTGACAGAGCATCGTGACCTGATTGAGATCCATGGTATCTGTGCTAAGTCGGCAGATCATCTCTTCAAGCCGAGTAGATCGGTTTGCTGAGGCGTAAAATGTAATGAGGTCTTTGAGGACATTGGGTGGTACGGCTGTGATCTGGTCTTCTTGGATGTAGGGCTCAAGTGTTTCGAAGAAGGCCTTCTCCGCAGACGCTTCCTCGAATGCATCGTATGTTTCTCCGAACAAGACGTCATGCTCGCCCATGCTAAGTAGTCCCGTAAAGACTACCTCGGCGAGTTCTTTCAGTCGCTGCTCTCTGGCCTCATCGTCGTCCTCATGACGCGCGAAGGCGTATTTGAGCGACGCCGTTATCATCTCTAAGAGTTTAGGCTGTACAAGCGCATGTCGTGCTGCATCGTTGTCAGGTAATCCGACGGTGAGCTTGTCTGCGTTACCAAGATAGTAGGAAGTGGCAAGACCAAGAGCGGCTATGTAGTCACCATCTTCCATCAATGCCAGCAACCGATCTGCCCAGTTCGAAAGGGTACCAATGGAGCAGTCATTGAAGCCGAGCAAGAACATACGTCCTTTGTAGGCTCGAAAACTCATGTAGAATGCGTCGGCCACAACGCCATGCATGGATGAGTCATCCTCGTTCAACTGCTCGACGACAGGTTTGAGCTGTCGCGAGAACAAGTCTGCGTGGTAGATGTGTTTCTGCAGCAAGTCAAACGAGTCGGTCACGCGTAGCGTATTGTCCTCGAGAATCATCAGGCGTTGGCTAATGGTTAGGACACCAAGCACAGACCTACTGAGCCACTGTACCGCGACTATAGCCTCTTCCGCTTTCCACCGACTTCGTGGTTTAAAGTGCAACTCGGTGGGTTTCTCTTTCTCCGCCGGCGGCGCATCTACGTAATCAATGTCTAGTATAGTGAGGACATTGGACCAGCAGTATACCAGCTTCGTCTTGGAAACTGCAGACCCAGCGTCACTAGACGGACTCTTCAACTTGACTGCTGGAAACCAAGCCAGACATCCGCTTAGCGCGCTGTGAGCAACCACGTCCTTTGGGCGTGGTGCCTTGTGTTGTGTCTGAGCGACCGGTGTAGTTGATACGACGACCAGCAGGTATGGTGTCAAGAGGGCAGTCAGTCCCATACCATCGGTAGGCTGTTCCACATTTCCTAGAGGCAATGCAGCGAATGCGAGCACAGAACTTGGCTTTCTCGGTTTCTCCATGGACTTGACCGGCAGCGGATACCTGCCCAAGATGCGATTGGTCTTGACCGTTCGCGCAATGGCTCCTAGACCGCGAGTGGCAAGGTGAGAAAAGGCCATTCCTGCATCATCAGCAGATACGAGTGCCGTGTGGCGCGTTCCCAGGAAACCCAGATGCATGATTCCGACGCCTGACACGTGACCGTCCGACTTGTTGTCCTCTAGCGCTGCTCTGTCCAGCGGCGGGATGTGGAGAAAGGGCTTGGCCGGCTTCGCCAACTCCCAGGTAAAAATGTGACCTGTCGCATGGCCGCCAGCTATGGTAGTGTGATCTGCAGATATGGCTAGCGAAGTGATGGGCCCGCACTCGACCGCCTTAGTTCCGGGTCCAATGATAGACTTTAGTACCTGCTGGTAGTCGAAGACGAGGATGAAGCCCTTTGAGGTTCCAATGGACAGTGAGACAGTGACGTTGAGACAAGTCGGCCGGCCAAAATTGCGCTTGCCGACTTCTGAGAAGACCTGGCCGGTAATCTTCTTCAGCTTAGTCCACCGCACCACTTCCCATGGCGCTTGGGGAGGCTCAGAACCATCGTCTGATAATTGATGGAATACCAAGTGACTTGACACAGAAGATTGTCGCGAGCGCGGGGAAAGGAAGGCTGGTGAGTGTCCTCGAGGGGATGCTAGTGGAGAGGGTGATAGGCGCGAGGAGAAGCGGCGCTCGAAGGGTTGTAACGATGCTGGACGGTGTGGTCTGAGGGAGCTATGCGAGACAGGTACGCTGCTCGTGGGGGAGGAAATGGCTGAACCCTATCATTGTCAGAAGATGCCAATTTTCCCCCCAATATGTCGTACCTGTATTGATGGGGTATCATCGGGAATGTCTGTCGAAGCATGGCTCTCTGCTCGCTCGGCCTTTGGTCTTAGAGATAATTCTGACGGGGACCCGGGCGCATCTTCTTGCGGGATACTTTTGGTCCTGGCAAATGTCAAGCCCTCTGGCGCTTCGACTATCGGATTCTCGTCTATCGAATGAAGCTCATCGCCTTGTGCGACATCTATCTCATCTCCGTGATCATTGTGAGCGCTAGAGTGGCTCTCTCCCGAATCTGAGCTCATGAGGCTCGTTCTGCGCAAAGCATTGCTTCAAGCAGACATTTGGCGCACGGTTTTTGTACTGCGATTTTTCTATTTCCGCCTCTTTAATACGTGTGAATGAAGTGTGCTGGTAGCTTCAATGGACACAGACGCGGGGGTCTTGGTATCGGTCGGGTAACACGGGTCGTAATTGTCTGCCTGAAGACGGGTGGAGCGGGTGATTGGTGAGCTAGTGCGAGAGTCGATTCGTTTGCGATAAGTTTTGACACAGTGAATGTGTTCCACAAGAGATAACAGCGATGTCGCGTTCCGGCAGCGCATGGCGCAGTACACAGGCGGCCGCACCTGCCGCTCCATGGTAGAGGTCCAAGCTCAGATGGAACGTCACCCCAACGCGACGACTTGGTAGAAATCACCAAAACACGTACAACACCACAAATCCGCAAAATGCCGTCGATAGGACCAACAATGCCGCCACATCTGGCCAAGCGCAGTCGCGACAAGGACGATGACAACGAGCGCGACTCCAGTCCAGATTCGAGCGACAAGCGCCGACGAGTAATCGGCCCAGCACCTCCGCCTTCCGCAACCTCACCTCAACGCACAGTTGGACCTTCACTATCACTAGCTACAACATCGCCACCGGCAGTCCAAAAAGAAGAAGACGATTCAGATAGCAGTAGCGACGACGACTTTGGTCCCGCGCCTCCACCAGCCGGCGCAACATATACCGGCGACCATGGCGCAACACCCATACCATCCGCCTTCGACACCTCACCAGAACTTACAGAAGCGCCTAAAAAAGTGCAACGCGACGAATGGATGACACTACCCCCTACCCAAGACGATCTCTCCCGCATGGACCCCACCAAGATGCGCGCGCGGAAATTCAACACAGGAAAAGGCTCCGCAAGCACCGGCGGCGGCCTAAGCAGCGCATGGACCGAGACGCCCGAGCAGAAGCTCAAGCGACTCCAAGACGAAGCGCTAGGTATCAGCGCGCCCAGCAACTCTGCGCCCACGACAGCAGACTCGAAGCGCAGTAAGGAGGAGGAGAGGCGGGTGCGCAAGATGCGCGAGAAGATTGAGGCGGCGAGAGGCAAGAGTCTGGTGGAGCAGCATCAGGAGAAAGGGACGGGCAAGGATGAGGAAGATGATCCTAGTAAACGTGCTTTTGACTACAAGAAGGATATGGCTGTTAGCGGGACGGTGAATCATAAGCAGCGGAGGGAGATGCTGAATAAGTCAAAGGGCTTTAGTGATCGGTTTTCTAGTGGTAGCTTTTTGTAGTGTCTGATTCGGTATTTTTCGAACTTTTGACGACTACATCTTCGAACTGGACGTTGCAGTGTAAGCACATGATAACACGAGGAGACTACCATGTTTCTATTCACAATGCTGCAGTCTTATCTTGGCCTATCTGGAAGACGACAAGGGCCCGATAACCTCTAGATGCCTCTCTCATACACGCCCCTGACGAATACCAGCATCTGATCAATTCCTCCACACTCGTCGACGATACGTGTGATGGTCGCCACCTTCTGCTTCTTGACTGGGAGAGTCTTCAAGTCTTCCTGCCAGTCGGCGTATACATCGGATGGTTTGAACCGCACATTCGCGACATTCATGAAGTTGAGGTCCTTGTCGCGCACCAGCTTATCCTTTGGCGCCACCCATGTAGGCCTCAGGGTACCTCGTACCGCTTCTTGTATGAGCCACGCCAGTGTCATGAATCCATCTAGCCTCTTGTATCCTCGGATCGAGAGAGATTGTACGGTGACGGAGATGTCTGCTTTGGCGTGTTGGTGGCCGAACCGGATGATGCCGTGAAGGATGTTCTCGTCGGCTGTGCGGCCAACCCCGAAATCGCCCAGCAAAGTGACCTTCCGCACGTTGTCGAACCACTGCGTACCCGCAATGAACCATTTGGAGGCAGAGGCAGGTCGGGCCTGGTCCAGGCGTCGGAAAGTATCGAAGGTCCAACCACTCACCTTAAGGTGGTTGTTGGCAAGCTCTCAGCCTCGTGCAAGGTCGAACAGTTTCTTGCAGACGAACTGGACATTGTTGAGGGGCTCCGGTAGCCTTGTCGGATTTCCGTCGTCGAACGCGAACTTGGCGTTTGCGTAAGGGACGTGGCGACAAACAGCTATGCGTAGCTGGCCACATCTCTCTGGGATGTGCACAATCTCGTCATCGGCAGTCAACGCATAATCAAGGATGTGTTCAAGGAGCTCATCGGGGAGTTTGAGCAGCCCAACAGTATTCAGCTTAGTGTACTGTAGCGCGTTTTCGGCTCCCGGTGACCTCCACACTAGTCGTTGTATCATGTTCCTCTCAGAGAAGAAACTGATGTGGTTTCCGCCGGGCTGCTCTTCGTCGGCAGCTTGCGTCTCCTCGGGCGAGTCGTTGATATGCCCCGGCGAAGTCATCCAACAATCGGTCGATCCTTCAGCTCCTGTCGTGGACTTGCAGCGAACAAGACCATAGCGCTTGGTCTGCTTGGTGCAGGTTTCGGGCTGTGTCTCTGTCGATATTTTCATGGTCAATTGCTCGTTCACCACTTCAATGACTATCTCGGAACCGGTTTTGTTGTTCTTGTACGTGCCGATGTGTGCCTTTCGGCTCTCTTCCGTGAGCTGCGTTGACGCCTCCATCGTATAAGAGGGACTGGGAGGTATCGTGGGTTGAGATGGGGTCTGGCATGGACTGCGTGTCGCAGTGGGATCCAAGAAGCTCCTGATATCGTGAGCAGCTAGCCGAGTTAGCGCATGCTGGAGGGTGCTCACGTTCGCGGGCTCTCACTCACTTCTCAGCGGGACCATTGCTAGATTAGGCAGCACTAGCAGACCGAGCCGCAAAAGTGTCGAGGGGGAGCGAGGCCATACTCGCGTTCACCTCCATAAACGGCAAGGTCTAGGTTTGCTCTCATCATGTCGAGTGGGGAATTGCCTGAAATGGCACTCCTGGCAGTCCGGATCGCGAGATTATAGGCACGGGGCGAGGCCATACTCACATTCACCTCTGCAAACGGTAAGGTCTAGGTTTGCTCTCATCGTGTTGAGGGGAGAAATGCCCGAATATGCAATCCTGGCAGTCCGGATCGCGCGATTATTGGCTGGGGGCGAGGCTCCACTAGCTCCGTCCCCGACACTTTGCATTCTCCCCATGCCCTTCTTTCTTCTCTTCTTCATTCTTCACACCACCACACCCCGACCAAACAAACACAAGAAAAGGATGTGGGAACGGACAACAAGACGTATGTATCACACACAAACTCCGCTCACCTTCAGCTTTACCTTGGAGTCTCTGAACTCAGACACCGTTCACATCTCAGAACATCACACCTGCACCTTTGCATGTTCCCTGGTGGCGTCGTTGTGCCAACACAGCGATGCAGTATTGAGAAGAAGCAGATCTTTCGAACTGCCTGCTTCTTCTCATACTTGGACGAACAGCCTCTTGGGCGCAGAGACCGGAACTCGCGCGTTCAAGAGGCTAATAGGCGATACCATTGAGGCAACAAGTATGTCTTTGGTCACTCGTCCCTGTCGCAGCAAAATTTCCCTCGCCGGCAAGTCACGTGGACCCTGGATGCACAATGTGAGTTGGTTCGCCTGTGTATTTCTAATCTATACAATGCGCCCCGGGGCGCAACGTTTGGTTCTAAACTTGGGAGAGGCGGTGTCATATGGTTCGTCCGTGCCTGCTGGCGGAAACTTCGTGCGGATGGCTTGTCTGTCCACGATGCAAGCCCCATACTGCTGCTGACAGTGTCTACCAACATTGTCTTCTATTCTTTTTCATTAAGTCGGGGCCTTTATGGTGCCACTTGAGGAAGGAGAAGCTGGCAGGAACCCAAAGTGTCGCGATGATGGATGGTTGAAGATGAAGACATGTCGTCACGGTAAACTCGACGTGACATGCATGATCGGCCATCACGTGCGGAAGCGGGAGCATGCACGAGTGGGGCTTGTCGATGCGACCCGCCTCGCGGGCATCGATGACGCTCCAAAGCTCAGACATTGAAAACGGGTACCTAACAAGGTTAATCTAGGAGGATGGGTCGCCTGCCATGACGCTTACTGTTTTGTTGTGCGACGGCCGGACGCGACGCTCAAAAAGTCAATGGCTTCGCTCCATCTCTTGACCACGACTGCATCCTCTCATCCCCAACCCATCGCCACCCGTAACGATGCCTCCTCATGGCGAGCGCGCACCGCTGTTGCAGCAGAGATGGAGTGAAGAAGGAGAGCCCCGTACGGTACGTCGTCATTGTGCATTCTTTTCACAAGGCTCATTGTATTGATTCACGACAGCACCTGCGCATCCAGGATCTTTCCAGCGATGAAAACCCACGCGAGTGGGCGCGATGGCGGAAGATGGCAAACGTTGCTGTAATAGCGCTCATGTCAAGTACGAAGGTGTCTCTATCCTCCCATTGCAATCACTAATCACGTTACTCAGTTCTCAGCCCCCTTGTATCTTCCATGTTCACACCTGGTATTGCGCAAATCGCCGACGACCTGAATTGCAGTACCACAGCCGTCATTGGAACAACCACCGGTTTCGTGGTCATGCTGGGCATCGGCCCTTTGATCCTCGCTCCTCTCTCCGAGACCTTTGGACGGAGGAAGATTTACCTTGTTTGCTTCTCGGTATTTGCTTTGTTGCAGATACCCGCTGCGCTAGCGCCCAACATTGCCTTCCTCATCACAGTGCGCAGCATCGCCGGCTTCTTTGGCAGTGTCGGCATAGCCAATGGCGGAGGAACGATCAGCGACATGTTCATCCCTAGCGAAAGAGCTGGCGTCTTCGGCTGGTATCTACTAGGTCCATTACTTGGACCTACTCTAGGTCCACTATTTGGCGGAATCATCGTACAACGCCTTGGCTGGCGCTGGATCTTTTATATAATGACGATTGTGTGCTTTGTTAATACTTTGGCGGGCTACTTCTTCTTACGCGAGACATATGCGCCACTCATCCTGAGTCGCAAAAAGATAGAATACGAGTCACAAAGCTCAGAGTGGGATGGCACGAAATACTCGTACGAAGGCGAAGATACGCGTCCACTATCGGAGAAGCTGTCACAGGCCCTGAAGCGTCCCCCAAAGATCTTCGCGCAGCCCATCGTGGCCGTCATGGCCGTCTACCAGGCCCTCATCTTCGGAACCACATACAGCATCTACACCAATATGCAGCCCATCTACCAGGACGACTACGGCTTCTCCACCGAACAAGTCGGTCTGCTATACCTCGGACCTGGCTGTGGCTTCCTCTTCGCAGTCTGGTTCCTCGTCCCGCGCATCGATACAGTGTACAAGTCGCTGACTGCCAAGAACCACGAAAAAGCGAGACCCGAATTCCGCCTCCCACTCGCCAACATCGGCTCCGTCTTCATCCCCATGTCGCTCTTCTGGTTTGCCTGGGCGGTGGAGAAACACGCACATTGGTTTGTGTCGATTGCCGCAACCTTTTTCTACGGCATCGGACAGGTCATGATTCTCAATAGTACGCAGAATTATTTCATCGATAGCTTTGAAAAGTATGCGGCTAGCGCTATCGCGGCGGGTACCGTTTTCCGCAGTGTTGTTGGAGGTGTGGTCCCCATGCTTGCGCCGGCACTGTTCGATAAGTTGGGCTACGGGTGGGGAATTAGTACTTTTGCGTTTGTTAGCTTGATCTTGGCCCCGGCACCCATTTTGTTCTATCGGTTTGGAGAGAGGCTGAGGGCGCGCTTTCCGGTGGACTTGTAGGGGGGGGATGTGGGGTTTCTTGTTTCCACTGCATAGCGCTCGGTGTCACAAAGGATGTTTTCACATATGAGCGACGACACTTGATGGCCCACTCTAAGCAGAGAAAGCCTGCTGTGAGTCATCGATATCTTTATATGCATACATGCATCTCTATCTGAATTACTAATATGGTCCAATTGTCTAAATTCGCGTATCTCCGTCATATTCACAAAGCAACTAATCGTATATGCAAAAGACATGTATACAACACCACCCTACTCCACCACCCTCCCCCTCAAGCCACCTCAAAAGCATCCATATCCCCCGTCGGCAACTCAGGAACCCCAACCGCACACCTCGCCGCATCAATCATGGCCTCCACAACCTCGGGCGGATAACTCCTCTTCAGCACCACCCTCACAAACTCGCTCAACAAATCCAGCCCCACATCACCAATCTGCTCGTCCGACCAGCCCTCATGCTCGCCGTCTTTCAGATCCATCCTCTCCAGCCGCCGCTGCAGTAACAAATTGTACACCTGCGCCATCTGGTGCGAACTGCCCTCCGCCGAGCGACTGTGGAAGTACAGACTCTGTTCTCCTTCCGACTCGCGCGTTGTATCCACCCAGGCCATTTGGCGCTGGAGTATCTGCGCCGCCTTGTCTGTGGGGAAGATGTCGAAGCGGTGACGCAGGACGTGTAGGGCGATAAGGGAGCCGGCAAGATCTTGGGTATAGCTGAAACAATGCATGATGAGGGACGTGATGGCGGCGTTATCCGCGCCTGCAATGCCCATGCGGAAACGGTCGGCGTCGTAGCGGCTGCGGCTGAGGCTCCACCACGCTATCATTTCCTTGAGGAGTTCGCGGGGGGTGGGTAGGGCGGGGTTATCGCGGGTGCTGGGGTCGCTGAGGGCGAGGCGCAGTGTCTTCCAGAGACAGCGGAAAGTGGCGCCGTCGGGGAAGACGCCGGGTTTACCTGGTTGTGGGTTGGTGAGGGTCTTGTAGATTATCCACGCGTCGGTATAGGCGCCTTGGCGGCATTTGTTGTCCATGAGGACGTTCATGATGGTGGCGTTGGGGGCGATGGCTGTTTTCGAGAGTTGGCGCGTTAGGTAGTCGACGTGCTCCCATTGTAGACTTGTGGCGTGGTGGTGCATGATCATGGCAAAGGTTGTTACGTTGGCTGCGGGGATGATTCCAGCGGCAGCTGTGTCGGTGCTGGCCATGTAGTCGGATTTTCTATTGATAATCTTGGGGATAGTATCGGGTGTGATGTTACTCGGGTCGACTTTGCCAGCTTGTTCAATCATCCGCCAGCCAATGTTTTCAGCTTTGAGGATATTGGGAACCTCTTTTGTGCGTATCAACGCCTTGAGCAGCATGTTGAAATGGAACGTCTCCGGCTGGTATCCGCGCTTGAACATCATGTCCAGTATCTGAGCAGCGGCCTCTGGGGCTTTTTGAACGACAGCCGACTTCATCCAGTCCCCAAACAAATGGCCATGATATGCAGGTGGCAAGACCGAGATGGCGTGAAGCGCGATGCTAGTCACTTTGGCAATATCAGTACCCAGACGATATACCATGTGCAGTCTCTTGAGAACTTGTTCGACGTCGTCTGCGGTACCTGTGGTAGCAAGGTAGCCATCCTTTACCATGTCTTGAAAAACTTGTTTTGCGTAGGATATGTTTCGTGCTTCTAGGAATCCCACAAGCCAAGCGTCGTAGTCCTTAATGGTGCGCATCCCACCCATTTTCTCTTTCATCTTGACGTATATGTCTTTTGCGATATTGTGATGCTCCCGAAGTTCAGAGCTTGTATGAGCGCGGAAAACAACCATCATCACGGATGCATTCCAGCTAGGATATAACTTGTATAACTCTTCCATGATCTCGCGGCTACGATCAACGTTACCAGCAAGCCCATGTAGCTTGGCTCCAATCTCCAGATGCTCCGGTTTGTAGTCTTGCCGGCCACTAGGCCGTCGTGTCATGTAGTCCTCTTGCCATTCCCTAAGAGCCTGGTCTTGCCTTCCACAAAGAAACACGGTTTCTAGATACTTGACCCTTTGCCCGACAGTCGTCGTCTTGCCCGACTTGGCCATGTCGCGATAGAGTTGTCCCAACTCTGCCTTACGTTTCAGGTTACTGGCCGAGTCGACAGACTGTGCAGCCCATAGCAGATCCCAAGCTCGGTCCGGGAGATTGTAAAGCAATTTAGGGTCGAATGCTTTTGCCAAAGTGTATGCTCGCCACAAGGGGGCCCGAAGAGTTGGATCCTGGCCATGGGTATTGCTAGCTCGATCCAACCAGCACTGCAGCCGTCGCGTAGCGTGGTACTTTGTGGCAAGAACATGGCCGCGCCCGAATTCCAGGTTGTTTGCATTTCTAAGTTTTTCGCGCTCTATGGTTCTAGCAATGCTGTCAAGCGCAGCTTCGGGGGTCGTTTCCAGTTCAGTCGGAGGCACAAGCGGACGCAGTGAAGTGTGACGTGTTGGATCCCAAGTCGGAATGTATGTGGGAATCTTGCGCGGGACTGTTCTCAAAGACCTTGAATTGAGACATTGAGTGGAGAGAAGTAGGCATCGTGGGCGACGAGGCGCAAGCATCAGCAGGCGCGTTCCAGCAATTTTGAAGCTGTCGCGAACATGCAGTACGCTACAATTACCAGGATCCTTCAATTAAAAAAAGCAATGGAATGCAAAACCGTGTCAGCGGGTCCTTTGATGCTAGGCGCATCCTCACGCCTAAGGGAAAATCCACCCATGTTCAGACGAGACTAGTGTTATCGATAGCGATGACGTAACCCAGCCCACCTCAACGACACGCCCCAAAACCATCAACACAATGTCAAAAACGCGATAAGCCTCATTCCATCGTGTCCTTTTTTTTTTCTCTTAGTGTACTCTGTGTATCCCCTCTAATTTCCCGAAATATGGCAAAAAAAACTTCATGCCCCACAAACTGACTGCCCCGTCTGTACGACACGCCAGAGCTGAAATTGCATCTTCATTTAGCCGCGAGCCTAGAACCTGCTCATGAACCGCCATCCAAAGTGTCTCTGAATGACGCCATGTCGGAGAAATGCTAGAGGCTAGAGAAACAAGCTTTCCCCGCAATGCATCTACCGTTTACCGGACCTGTGCGCTTATGCGTGTAGCTGATCCGGCAGACTTCATTGGGGAAGGAGTTGCCATTACGACTCGTCTTCACACGTAGCCTTCACTTCACGCTGCATGCATGCTGGCTTGAATTGAATATGTAATTTCCAGTATCTGCGCAGGTCTCAGGTCATTTCCAATTGGTTAGTATGCTTAATGTGGCGATGGTCGTGATACAAGTCGTGATGACAGTTCGGCGCCTCCCACGCCTCCATCGTGGCACAGGTGGAGATTCCAATTGGGCGAGGTACCACGGTGGTAATTGTTATTGCTATATGAAACCCACTGGCTGAAGCCTACTATCACTATGGCCAAGCCACCGCACCGCGCAAGGGGTATATTTCTAAGGGCATCCCTTGTTCAATATACAAATAGAACAAGCTGTCAAAAGTACACCGCATCCATAGTGCATTTGCAATATAACTTCTGCAATCAGCTGGCCGTGAATCTTGGGAACGATCTCGTCTTGGGTGCATGTCGTTTGCATTCCGTCCTGGCTGTAATACCACTGAACCTGGCGATATTTCCATTTTTTATTTTCTCTTTTCTTTCTCTCCGCCGTGTTAAACCATACCCACTGCCGCCGACGCCTACTACCGACAATGTTTCCTGTACTACTATCACTACTCTGGGTAGCGCTTCTCACAGGACGCACGCTTGCGCAAAATGCAACCTTTACACGTGGACAAAAGTTTCAGATCATCCTTCTTGGCGTGCCCGACGTTTCCAAGATGCCGCTTCCGCCTACGGATGCGCCGGTGTGGGATGTCGATCTCTTCGACACCCCCGTCACGACGATAAGTGCGCTCAAGAAAGCAGGCAAGACTGTCATATGCTACTTTAGCGCCGGAACGGCAGAGAACTGGAGGGATGATTATGGTGGCTTTGCTGCTGCTGACTTGGGCAAGGTTCTGCCGGAATGGTCGAATGAGAAGTGGGTGAAGACAGGTAGTCAGGGTATCCGGAATATCATGGCGAAGCGGATTAAGCTGGCTGCTGATAAGGGGTGTGATGCGATTGATCCTGACAATACTGGTATGTCGTGTTCTTCTGTTGAGTCTCCAAACTTTTTACGGTGCAAGACACAATCTACATTTTTCAACAGCTAATAGCCTCCCGCAGATGGATACGTACGTCTCCTAGTTCCTGACTATTCAAACAACACCCCTAACCCATCCTCCTAGCAAAATGAATCCGGTCTCTCACTCACCCCCGCCGACGCCATATCCTACCTAACCTTCCTCGCCGCCACAGCAACCACCCACTCCCTCTCCATCGGTCTGAAAAACAGCCTCTCCATCCTCCCCTCCGTATCCCCCCTCATCGACTTCGCCGTAAACGAGCAATGCTTTCAACTAGGCGAATGCACGGCCTACACCACCTTCCTCGCCTCCAACAAACCCGTCTTCAACATCGAATACCCACAACCTCTCAACGCCGCATCCGTACAAGGCTCAGCGTGTAGAAACCCGGTTGTTGACGGCATGAGCACGGTGCTGAAGGATCTGACGCTGGATGGTAGGACCGTGTATTGCGATGGCGGCGGCGTGGTCGTGGATACGCCTACGGTTGGGGGAAGCTCGTCGCCGAGACCTTCGCGTCCGCCGATGCCGGTGCCGACGGCTAGTTCGACAAGGTCGACGGGTCCGTCGAGGTCTGTGACTACGTTTAGGTCTACGGTGACGCGCAGTCAGACGGCTACGTCTACGCAGAAACCGACGAGTACATCTACGCAGCGACCGACGGGTGCGCCGGGTGGTGGCGGGTGTAGGTCGAAGCATTGGGATCAGTGTGGCGGGCAGAACTGGAATGGGTGTACGGTTTGCGAGGTACGTGTTTTTCCCTTGTTTTTGTCTTTTGGCGAAGAGGAATGTGGCTAACTTTTGTTGTTGCAGTCGCCGTATACGTGCAAAGGCGTGTCGCCGCCATGGTATTATCAGTGTTTGTGAATGGTATTGTAGTTGCTCTATTGTAGCCAGAACAATAGATTGAAGTTGAAATAAAGGATCTCGAAATTGCATAGCGAGGTGTACTTCAGTGGTTTCAAGGCTGGAGGAGAGGGGGCTGGAAAGCACAGTTAGATCCTCTGGCTATTGCATGGGACCTCTGATTCTTCCTCAAGCTACACCCTGAAGGTGATGACTCAATGAAAAATAAGTACCTTGTATGCGACAACAAGATTGGGTTGAGGGCAGGCTTTGTCGATAGCTGACTGTGCGCCATTGCGACAAATATCCTCATGCTACGTGCCAAAGAGAAGGCGATGCCCGAGCATGACCTATGTTCTCGATGTAACAAACATGTTCTAAGCAATCCAGCTTTGTAAGGAACACCAGTCGCTCAAGCTTAGCTTCTGGCGGCGCAAGTGCCAAGGACTCCGTTGAGTATCCCACGACACAACCCAACGGCTGTCACTGTTTCCAGTTGCCTACCGGCGGCATCATAGTGCGCTCTGAAGCGCACCATCTTCCGCTCAATCCGATGCAACGTCGAAGCTTCAGTTTGCTTGACTGTGTTGCATGCATCGCTCACGCTGGCGCGAGACGATGCCACCAAAGGCGAGCGCGGAAGCAGCAACAGCGCTTGCGACCTGCTCATTCCAAAGGTGCAGACGATGTCTGAAGGTGTAACCACCTGACGTGAGTCGAGTAGTTGGGTTGTCAAAGGCAATGACAACAGGTGAAATCCCACCAGGGAAATGCGAGTTTGTGGAGAAGGTAGAGGATAAAGGTTGAAAGGTAGAGTGTAGAGTGTAGAGTGTAGAGTGTAGAACGTAGAAAGTTGTTTGATATGCATAGGAAGAAGTAAGTTGAGATGTTGGTGATGTGGAGAACCTTTGAAAGTGTGGTGGAGGAGAGAAGCAGGTTGAGGGAGAGGGAGCAGGCTTTATAACCACTAGAGCGACGAGCTTGGGCCACAGCGCTAGTACATGGGCTGCTGCGTCACGGGAAGCAGTGAGAGCGGCGATACAAGAAGTGAGCGCGGGTAATGGAGTGAATGGCAATTTTCCAAGCTAAGGCGCTAGTATTCGTGTGATTGGGGAGTCATAACGACGCGCGTGGAACGTGGAACGTGTAAGAGCGGGAGCGGTAACCCACAAGGCAGACATGTGCCGCCTTACTCAGGCGTCAGATGCACGTGATGATTAGCCAATGTAGCCATTAGTGATCAATGGCTTCACTGTTGCAGTACACATCACGCATTTTCTCGTGTAGGTGCGTAGGTGTATCCCCAGATGGCTGGTCACACTGAAGCACTGAAAGCTACATAGCGCCAAAGCTTCACGTGCATGAAATACAGCGGCTGCTGGTGGTCTCGGATGTCCTGTGGTGCACAGACGTTGAGAGGGTGAGAGGCACTAGCACGTGAAGAGGTGAACAGTGCGTAGGCATTTGTCTGTTTGCACCTCACGGGAGCCTAATGACAATTTCAGCTTGAATGACGCTAGCCCATCATCGCAATAAGATTGCTCTACCCCACTTCTCATCTTCCTCGCCCTTGAGAAGCTCCCACTCAGCCACACCGGCAGGCGAACTTGCCAGCCCCAACCATCTCGCATCCTGCTGCCCCGCCGATCAAAACGCACAGTAAACGATTACAGAGACTTCGAAAACACACAAGATGGTAGACAAGTGGAACCTTGACGCATACGTTGGCATGTACACTCGCATCGACAACACGAATGCCGGCATTGTCGTCCGTCTCGAGCGCGGCCGCCTCAGCCTGACCATCTGGGAAAGTGTCTATGTTGAGCTGTACATCGTCCCATAGAATTTTATCGACGTCACCTTCCCAAAGTGTTTGCTCGCATCGGCATATTGCTTCCCAAAGACGGGGGACCTTGGCGAATTCGACACCATGACATGGATGAGTTTCGATCACACCGACGGCAAGATCACTTCCTTCAATTGGGACGCACCCGACAATCCATACGTTGGTTCGGACGTTATGTTCACTCGATCAGAAGACAAGACGTGGGCAAATGTAGCTGCACCAACGGCGCCACTTCTCCGTCTCCCGACCGAAATCAGGCACAAGATATATGAATACCTCTTTCCTCATCCAAACATCTCTGCCGTCCTGAGCAAGAAGAAAGTCGTCTGCAAGTTCTCTGGTGCGGGTGGCGAGGAAGTGCATACGGACGCAATCAACTCAGTTTGCCGGCAACTGTACCAAGAGACAGCGGGGTTCTGGCTTACTCAAGCCAACGTCACCATGGTCCGAGCCACATTGGCACAATTGATACGTGGGCCAGATGAGATCTTCTTGGGACGTATGAGAGAAGTCACTTTGATTACTGGCTTCCAGCGTCTGATGAGCAAGAAGGACTTTGACGCTCGACTGTGCCCTGTTCTTGACCTCACAAAGACATTCACACAGTTGAGGATAAAGATCAAGTTTGACGATTAGGTTTACCAGCCTGCCCACGCTATCACCTTCATGCGCACTGGCATCGTAATCCGCAAAGCACTGCGCGATTACTCGCCGTGCCCTTCACCACCATTCCAGGCCGAGGTGGATGAGTGGCGCTCAGGTCGGAATGTCGAAGAGATCAATTCCCGCAAAGTGCGCTTCTTTCCCGGAATCGGCCATAAGTTTCCTGGGATCCAGAAGTTCAAGGTTACCGCTTCGCAGTTGATCAAGAAAAAAGATCCGAAGATGAAGGATATCATGATAGAGTTTAGCAGAAGCTTGACATAGTTAGGCGAAGAAGTATTGCACTGGTTCGTTGACGGTATCTAGGTACTTCAGGGAGATACCACGGCCCTTGTTGATCATCACAGAAGGAAAGAGTTGCACTCGTGGTGTACGATTGAGCTTCTTGGCCTGGGCACCAGATTCGTTGCTATATGCTGAGCGCGCAGTGTAAATTATCAGCGAGTTTCTCTCTAGAGACATCGAGATAGGATAGTCGCTACAAAAAACTGATTTCATTCAACACTCTCATAGACCCAACGGATTACTAGCTGATGTACTCTTGTTGGAGCTTCCCGAGAGACCAGGCACATTGGGCCTGCTCGCCATAGACGCCATACCCCCAACACCACTCGTGCTCAGCCCAAGAGGGTTCTTGTGTGTTGTTGAGCGACTGCCCTGGGCGCCGGTCATGTCCTTGAGAGAATTGCCATACTCGCGGACCATGTCGCCCCACGTGCGCGAAGTGTTTGTGATGCTGGAAAGATGTCAGTTATACTGGCACACTGAATGAAAGGGGGGTTTGGGTAGATGAATACCTTGCTCCAGCGCCTCTTCCGGCTCCGGCGACACCACTGCCTGCTGCCGTGACTACTGCGCCTGCTGCGCTTCCAATGCCGCTGGTTGCCGCACTGACGGCACTGCCTATGCCTGATGATGCGGCACTGAGGCCTTTGTTTAGCCAGCCTTGTTGTTGGGGCTGTCGGGGCACATTCTTGGTTGGTGCTGGGAGAGGCTTCTTCTGGCCGATGGCTGTGGTGGGCTTCCTGGGTAGGGTGTTGGTGATGGGCTTCTTGGGGGCGGTGGTAGCCGGCTTCTTCTGCATGGCCGTGTTGACGGGTTTCCTGGGGGGCTGAACGGCCGGCGCTTTCACAGGCGTGTTTCTTGTTTGTGCCTTTACTGCCGTCTTCTTTGCCGACGACGTAACGGGCGTCTTCTTGGTGCCAATTGGTTGAGCAACCATTGTAAAGGATGCAAAGTGAATGTTCTTGATATTTCTTATATAGTTTGCGTAGAATCGTGGAGATACTATCTAGTCAGGCAGCAAATGGTGTATATATCAGAAAGTATCTAACACATTCTTCACGTAGAAAGTTGGCAAGCTGTTATGCCTGTCGCACGTGTGGCGTAGATGATGTCAGGCACGGGAGGGTGGGGGCGACTTGTCCCAAAGCGTCCTGGCGTGATCGGCGTTCGAGACCCTGGACCCATGCATGTTTCGAATCTCCAACACCCTCACGTCTGTCGTCTGCCAGATGGCATCGCCCTCGTATTCTCCTGTAGCCCAGCCGCCTCTTCGCTTCGTAACGCTTTTGTGTCTTTTGTTTCTCTGCAACGTTTGAATTGTAATCGTGCGAGTTTGATAGGCCCTTCCAGCCGTCTGCAGTGCGGAGCTGTGATTGTAGACGAACACAGGCTCACCGCACGCGACCCGCCCGCCATGAGCCGCATTCACTGCTGGAAACCCACGTAGAATAGTATAGCAAAGTCGTGAGTGCCCTTTTTGCTCGTGCCCCCCACCATGTCGCCATCCACGGCGCACCACTCTCCCACAGCGCAGCCATGCTTGGTGACGAGGTCGTAATGAAGCTGAAGCGCTCCATGAGCGACGGCGATCATCTCATCCCAATGGGTGTGGTGACGCCGTCTGGCTCGCCGGAGACGAAGACGCCGTTTTCAAAGAACAAATACAACCGCTCCTTCTCGTGGTCCAAGCTGACAGACTCGCTCAAAGGCAAGAGAGGCCCATCCTCGCGCTCATCACGCTCCTCGCGCAGTTCCCACACAACCTCGATCGATAAGCGCGATATTTCAGGTCCAATTTTAGATCCAAAGAGCCCGCTCTGCCCGCCTAGACCGAAGACGCCCATATCTAACCGGCCGGCTGTGTCTAGTCCGGTAACACCAAAGCGTACGTCAGGGCATTCGTACTCTGCCTCTGACCCTACAAACAACTCCTCTCCTCGTGTCTCGCACCAGATTGCTCGCTGTCGCCCGCCTCCGCCTCCGCCAATTTACACCAACTTTGAGAGTGAGGGAAGCACTCTAGTCGAAAGCCCATTGGAGCGCATAGCAGAGTCGCCGCACGAGCCGCACGACATCTTCTCGAGTGAGCCTCTTGGAATCGACAGAGTATACAGATACCTCAGAGGCATGGAGCCAGCACGACTGCAGCCTCCCAACATGGGGGGCACCAAAGGCCGCGCCATGCAACAGGCCAAGGACATGGAGTTGTTGGTTGCTGAGAGAGCGAAGCGTGGCGGTGAAGAGCCCCCTCCATATGATTTCTACGAGCTTATCGGCAAAGGTGCCTACGGTCGTGTCTACAAAGGGTGGGTAGTTCCAAGTATGCACGTGACGTGTGTTAACAACATCCAGAAAGAGCCGCAACACGGGCGCGCTTGTCGCCATCAAGATTATTGAAATCGACAAGGTCGACTATGAGGAGATGACGCACAAGAACCTTCAAGACACGCTCAAGGAGATTGACATTTTGCAGCAGCTCAGAGACAGTAAAGCCAGGCCATATGTCAACATCATAGAGGAGGCCAGGCCTGTTCACAATGAGCTATGGATCATCAGCGAGTACGCCAGCGGTGGCAGTGTCAACACGTTGATGAAGCCAACGGCCATGAGTAAGGATCCTGGTCCTGGACTGCCGGAGAAGTTCATCATACCTATTGCGCGCGAACTGGCCCAAGGTCTCAAGTACATTCACGAAGCAGGCGTGCTTCACCGTGATCTGAAATGTACGTCTACAAGCCTTAGATCTTGGCGCTTGCTAACAATTCCGTAGCCAACAATGTTCTTATCCTCGAAGATGGCCGGGTGCAGTTGTGCGACTTTGGTGTTTCCAACACGCTCGAGCCCGAAAGATCCAAGCGCTCAACCATTGTCGGCACACCATTTTGGATGGCGCCGGAACTTCAAAAGGAATGGGTCAAGGATGCCGATCCGCACAGCTTGTTGCAGCCCAAGGAGATTTCGTACGGCAGTGAGGTCGACATCTGGGCTTATGCTTGCACCATTTTCGAAATGGCTTGTGGCTTGCCGCCGCACCACAAGATTAGCCAGTTCGACCTGCCAACCGCTGGAGTTCCGGTTCTCGAAGGCGACCGGTTCTCGGACGAACTCAAGGAGTTTCTTGCTTTCGTCTTCCAGCCCAACCCACACGACAGGCCCACACCCGACGAGATTCTTGAGCATCCCTACCTCGTGGATAGTGCCAAGATGTATCCAACCGTGTCACTGGTCAAGTTGGTGGAGGATTACTATGTCTGGGAACAACAAGGTGGCGCCCGTCAGTCACTGTTCAACCCATATGGTGCACAGGCGCCAGATCCCCTTGCCCCGGAAGACGAAGAGGACGACGACGACGACTGGTCTTTTAGTACATCAGAGGAATTTGAAATAGAGCACGCACCCCAGTTTGGCGATCCTTTTGCTGCTGGGGAACCCTTTAACGGAATGAGCTTACCGCCAGTCGCCGATCTAGATCGTTTCGAACAACTGCAAGCCAGGTTCAAGGAGGAGTCTATTGTGCGGGGACAAAAGCGATTGAATAAGTTGTTCGACACAAACACAACGCCATACCGATATAGCGCGGTCGATATGCCGGAGCCACCAAACGGTCGACCACCCTCGGATCTGGTGTTGCGAGACTTCAATCCCGGTGCGCCTAATCGCGAGACTGTCATCGATCTGGACTTTTCCATGCCATCAGCGGATGAAATACCGAACATCGATCTAGGCGAGGTGCCGACTATACGCGCAAATCGCATGAAGAGCATGATACGGGAATTGGAAGAGGAGGAGCGCCGCGATGCTTTCAACGAGGAAGACGAGCTCACTAAACGAGCTACGAAAGACTGGACATTCCCTAGCATGAATGACGACTCGAATCGCAAGACAATGGAGTGGTCATTCGCAGCAGAACAGCCCCAGCCGAATCGAAAGACGATGGAATGGTCATTTGCTGCTGAACAGCCAAATCGCAAGACTATGGAATGGTCGTTTCCGGCTCAGCCCCAGAAGCCAAATCGACGCACCGTTGAATGGACATTTGATGCAGCCATGGCAGAGGCCAACAATGAGCCAAGGAATCGGGCGTCAAATCGTATTTCTCGTCGACGGGAAACAAAGGAGTGGACGTTTCCCAAGGACGAGAACCGAAAGACTCAAGACTTTGCATTCCCCATGGGTAGTCCACAGCGACCGAGCTTGCGACAGGCACAAACTGCACCCCTGGAGCCAATCGATGATTATCCTGAATTCATCAGTTCGCCGCCTGGCTCCCCTCTTCGGTCATCGATGATTGACCTAGACATGGCCATGGTGGAGGACTACCGCCCGTCAACGTCTGGCTCGGAGACGTACACAGCAAGCGGCGAACGCATCAACGACAACCCTTTTAACTTGGAAGACCAGGTGCAGCTTTCACAGAACAATCATCGCGCATCCTTCCACATGAAGTCGCAGTCTGAGCCGAATCAATCCGTGCCAGGCTTATTGACACCTCAGCAATACGACGAGCAAGGCCACCTACACGCTCGAGGTGTCAGCTCAGCAAGCCAAGTCCAAGGCCACCCCAAACCCGTCGCAAACAACAACATGGCAGGAGGCCAATACCACCGCCCCAGCCAGCGATCACAGCAGATGATTTGGGACGGCTGGTCGCATACTATGGCGTACGGACTTGGTAGTGACGATATGTCTCCTCCGATGAGTGTTACAACAGATACCTCACTGGAAGAAGACGACGTAGACGAACTGTGGGAAAACTTCGAACGTTTAACCTTTCAACAACAGCAGCAACAATATCACTTATCCAGACCTTACCCCGCCACCGCCGTCCCAGCACCCCTCCGTTCCTCCCGCTCTAGAAACGACTCTCACGCTACATCAACATCAACATACACGCTCGACTCTGACACAGACGACAGCAGCACCTACAACCCCTACTTATCCTACTCTTCCTCCGACTTCGACACCACAAACTCATTCCGCAAATCTACCCTCAGCGTCGGTCCAAACGGTAAACCACTCGTCGAATTCCCCGTTCCCAGCGGACCGCCCATCGAGGCGCTACTGATGGGATCGGCGGACGGCGATGTTGCGGCCGCGTTGCAGCATGCGCTTTTGAGGTCGGCGTGTGAGTTGAGGGATGGGGTTAGGGCTAGTCGGGATTTGTTGAGGGCGATGCGGTTGGCGGATGTTGAAGGGGGTGGGATTGGGGAGGAGGATGAGGGGGAGGAAGGGGAGGAAGGGGAGGAAGGTGTGGAGGGGGAGAGGGTGGATAGGGGGCTGGGGAGTGGGGAGACGGTTAGGGGGAGGGTGTGAGTGATGGGCGATGGGAGTTTGGTGGGTTTATGGTGTTTGATATACTTATACTGCGGGTTTTCGGAAAAGTGTTTATTACTTTTTTTGGCGTGGTCTGCGTGGTGGAATCGGCGGTATGGTACGGTACGGCCAGGGAATGTGGCAAAGACATGAGTCCAAAAGTCCAAAAAGTCCAAAAGCATACTTTCTTTACTAGGTATATTACACCATCCATATCCATATACTTTTTCACTCATAAGTTCAAGTTCAAAATCCAAATTCAAATAAACCAGACGTCGAGCACTGGACTAGATGAAATTTACTCTACATACTTCTTCCTCGTGGAATAGTTATTTAAATGTACGTGGCGATATGATGGATGTAGTTTAGTTATGCTCGCAGTGTAGAATGTAGATGGACTAATCCACAAGAGTCGGGGCCTTGAATGCGCTGGGCTGGGCTGGGCTCGGCTGGCTAGTGTAGTGTAGGTAGGTAGGTACCGTAGTCGGCGATGCAAGCGCATGCACATCCCTACTAGGTAGTAACTAGGCAGACGCATGCGCACGCACGCATGCATGCATGTACTGGTACAAGGACCACCTACTTAGACCGCCGCAGCACCTAGACTAGACTAGACAAGAACGCGCCGGAACAAACGGAACAAACTCCTACATACACCGCAGGGCAGCGCAGGGCAGGTTAACATCCAACCTAACCTAACCGAACCGAACCGAACCGAACCGAAGACTAGATCAAGGTCTCAACAATGCAATGCGGTAGTTCAAGCCGATGGTATTCTGGATTTGGATTGCGGATCGCGGATGCTGGGTAAGGGGTCGGAATAGGGTTTAGGTTTAGGTTTGGATAAGGCGGGTATGTAGGTAGGTAGATGACGACATCTTAAATGTATACATGTGTGAGAGAGAGAGAGAGGGAGGGAGAGGACTGGGTGGGGAGGTTTTGAGAGGGATATCCTACTACTAGTATTGTAGAGAGAAGACGAGGAGGATAGTGGTAGAAGTATGTGTGTATGGTGTGTTGGTGGAAAGTAGATGATACCTGTTAGTTAGTATCCGTACCTAATACATTGCTATCGATATCAACACACCGCATACACTGTGCACGAAAAGAGAAAGCGGGATAGATGACTGGATATATACAATTCAAGTTCCTCTACATAAGACGAGAAAAAATGTGTCTGTGTGTGTGGTATATACTCCATTCCGCCTCCATACCATGCATACCACCCACACCACACATAACCGCTCTATCCTACCCACCCGTCCAATCCAATCCAAGATGAAACCAAAACACAAAAGTCGGGGAGGGATATGCACAATAACCAGCCAAACGTAGAGAGCAGGGAAAATAGAAACGGGTTATCCATCAGGTACATTATTCCACACGCTCAAGACCAAGGGTATACTACTTCTTTCTGTTATATGCAGATGCAGAGCAGAGCAGGGCAGAGCAGGGCAGAGCAGGGCAGAGCAGGGCAGAGCAGGGCAGAGCAGGGCAGAGCAGAGCAGAGCAGAGCAGAGCAGAGCAGAGCAGCCCAGGCTAAAAACAAGTGCCAATCAATCAATCCCCTCCTCCCATGCGGAGGAAAAGAAAAAGAAGACGAGGCAAGGAAGAAAAGGGAAAAAAAACGCCGGTAGATCAGATGGGGGTGATGGAAGTACAACGGGAGACGCGGAAAAAAAATGTTGGGAATATCGTAATGGGACATGAGAGAAAAGGGGCATGTTGTTGTTGACGTTGGATTCGTACTACAAAATGTCTACCGAGTAGCGGCTTCGAGTTGACCGGGAGTGGGTTGTTGTTGTGCAGGGGCAGTAGTACCACGACCACGGCCGAACCAGGTCGAGAAGGTGGAGACGCCAGTTTGGCTGTTGGTCGTCATTTGACTGCCAGTCGGGTTGTTGTTGGTGGTGGTCGGGTTCGCCGTCCGACTACCTGTTAGTCTAGCTCGCCAGTTAGGGGTAGCGCCAGGCTGGCGTCGGCCGGGGCGGTTTACTCGGCCAAACCGGTCGGCGCCTTGCCGTTGCTGGTAGTCGGCGTTGATGACGAGAACGCGAGACCGAGCAAATGGGTTGGTCGTCGTCCAGACGGCTTGTGGTGAGCCGAGACCGGCTGTTGAACGGCGGCCGGTGGCTGGGTCAATCTCTCCTTCAGGACGGGGTTTCGGGACGTAGTAATCGGCCTTGCAGAGGGGACAGCAAGCGCGACGACCTGTTAACCATGGATCTACACAGCTGGCGTGGAAGGCGTGACCGCATGTCAATCCCCGAACGTCGTCATCATCCTCCAAGGTGTCGAGACAAATGGCGCAAGTGTCGCCTGGCTCGGCCAGCATCTCCGGTGCAGTGGCGGTTCGTATTGGGTCCTCGTCATCATCCGAGTCGTCTTCGCGTTCCTGGACGTTTCCTTGTGGAGTGCTACTACCATCCTCAGTCTTTCCAGCAACCGCCTTCTCTGCCTTTGCCTCCTCCAACTGCTTTTCCACGTGTTTTACTTGCTCGCCCTTTAGTGGATTGCTCTCCACACTGGCCCTTGGTGAAGCTTTCTGCTCGGAAGTAGTGGTCGGTGCAGTGAGATCGTCGCGAGCCATGGAGAGAGTGGTATCGGTCCTAGGTGCTGGGCCTTGGTCTTGCGAACTCATGGCGCCCTCGACATCTTTGATGCTTCCTGCCCTGCTCTGCGGCGCGGTTGCAATACCCCCGTTGGCTGGCAGACCCTCTGTTTCGCGACTCGATTTCCATTGCTTGTACTTTGTCAGTGGGAAACGGTCATTGACCTCGTCCATGGTCATGAGCTTCTTCTCCCTCCTCCTTCGATGTGGTCGGGGCATGTTGGTCATATCAATAGGCTCCCCATCTGCAGCGGCCTGGGCGGCGCGACGACGATTGTATCGGAAGCAGTACTTAACGCCGACGATGATCCTGCGCGCGTTAATGGGTGCAGATTGTGGCATCTGCACATGACCTACCATAGATTTGTGAATACTACACCAAAACCGAGGGCGACAAAGAACAGTAAAGGTGAGCTGGTAGGACCGCCACTGCCACCATCGTTGTTACTGGGTGGCTGTGTCGACGAAGGGGCCGAGCTGGTTGCGGCGATGGTCGACATGGTGATGCGACAATACTATTCCATGTGCTGGGCGTCCAGAAGGCGAGCGATGGTGTTGCGATAGCGCGGATCGGGGGATATTGGCGGAATAAAGGCGTGTGGGAACGATGGTGACGGCAACGACTGCGCCCGTGGCGATCGAAGGGCGGGATGTTAGCACACGCACAAGACTCACTCGGCGCGGACAAGAACAATGGCTACACGCATGTGATCAACGTGATCAAAGTGTGAGATTCAAAGCGAATGGGATTGTTGAAGACCAAAGGTCAATGAATGGGACCGTCGAGTGTCAGAAAGCGAAGGCGGGTGGCCGTCAGGCGGATAAAGGCCGCAAAGACGTCGGTCGCTAGGATTAGGGCAGGGCAGGTGCCAAGGATGACAGGCGTTCGCGAGTAGTGGCGCAAGAGCTTATCTTCGGCCGCGTTACGACAGTACTGTAAGTACGTATAAGAGTTTGTTTGTCAATGTTATAAAGTGCGGGATAGCTTGTAATGTAATGCATCATGTTCCCACTGTTCGCAGTGTCCACGCAAGCCAGCTCGAAACCCTGCGTGCGCTGCCAAACCCCTGCTACAGCCAAAAGCCACCAAAGTGGGCCTTCCCCAGCGCTAACAAGCCTGTGACCGTATCCACTCCCTCAGCCCACCACTTGCAGAGATCCATCTTCCCCAGCTTCTGCACGATTTTCTCTTCGGAAATCGAACCACGTCTCGCTTGTAGATCGGTTGTTATTGTACGTCTACTCGACTCCTATTCCTCCCTCATCAACTCGGTACTCAATCTGCAGCATTGCATTGAACCATGGCCGACACTACCGAGCCCAACCCAATCGTCTTCTTCGACATCACTCTAGGAGGTACTTATAGCTTAATGCACCCACCCTTGTGTCTTTCGGATCCCCCCTTACCCCGCGCCACATTCCGCCCGTTGGTTCGTCTTGGCTTAGTCTACACAGCCTCGTGACCGTCACCATGTCGCGACTGACATAAGCAATCAGGAGAAAAACTGGGAAGAATCAAGATGGAACTCTTCAAGGATGTCGTCCCAAAGACTGCCGAAAACTTTCGTCAGTTTTGCACGGGCGAAACCAAGAATAGTCGGGGGCAGCCGCAGGGTTACAAGGGCTGCAAGTTCCATCGTGTCGTAAGCGCTGTTTCAAGTCGTGGCTGCGGGAATATCCCGCTCGTATAACTCGGCAAACACTAACAGGTTCAGATCAAAGGCTTCATGATCCAAGGTGGCGATTTCATAAACGGCAACGGGAGCGGCTCAAGAACGATTTGGGGCGTGGAGAAGTTTGCCGATGAGAACTTTACCCTAAAGCACGACAAGCCTGGTCTGCTGTCCATGGCAAATGCTGGCCCAGTAAGACACGACGCCCAAGACACGACGCCCAACCGCTCTTGACATGCTGACGAAATTAGAACACGAACGGATGTCAATTCTTCATAATCACAGCCAAGAATGGAACACCTCATCTCAATGGAAAGCACGTTGTCTTTGGTAATGTCATTGAAGGTATGGACGTCGTGACCAAGATTGAGAACACGCGAACAGTAGCCAACCCGGAAGGAAAGCCTGTTCAAGACATTGCCATTGCACAGTGTGGCGAGATGTAAGAGACACGTTACAAAACACGTCAAGTCGCAAATACGTGAAGAATATAAAATTACAACGTCCAACAAACATCGTGTCAACCCTTTCGCATGATTGCATTGACGTGAGTGAAGACTGCTTACATAAGAGACCCGCTGAAATTCTCTCGGCCTTACGCCCACAGTCGCGTGTCTTCACCCCCGCCGCTCTACAGCTTTCTTCACCACGCCGCCTGCACGTCATATCACTGCTCCGATGTAATTTCTTTGCCGACTGCTCTGCAAACATGGTCTCACTTGCTACAACCAACCGGCCCGTCAGCGCCGTTGTTCCCAAGATGGCAGGCAGCAGCCTCAAGCGCAAGCAAACCGATGCCTCGTCCAGCCCGGCCCCGGAACCCACAGCCACAGGTCAGGCCAAGCGTCGCCGAGTGACATTCGATCCCGAAGTTGACGTGAGAGTACTGGCGGACCCCAATGAAAAGAGCTTAGAGTTGGTGGGGGAGGAGGTGCGGCGCGCCATTGAAAAGCATGCGACGGGCGAGAGGGCGGCCTACGATGGGCTCAAAGCCTTGTTCAGGGAATCACCGACGTCTGCAAGTGCACCGCTGTCGCACCTGCTGCAGAAATATGTCATTGCACTTACGAACAATACGCCGCTCCTCGATTCGAACTGCAAGGGCCTGGTGCATGCCGTCATTGATTGCAAGTGGATTGCGCGAAACGATGACTTTGTACGCTCCTTCCAAATCTTCTTGCGCAGGTTGCTCTCCGTGCAAGCCGGTTATATGTCGACTATACTACAAATGCTCGTCGACATGTTCCTGGGCGCACCCTCTCCAAACGCAAGACAGACGGACGACCCGCCCATTCAACGCGTTCATATACAAGCTCGTGTACACCAGACACTCAAGAGCATACTCCGATATAGTCCCATGGCTAGCTCCTTTCTCTCACCCATCATATCCAACACATTCCCCATCTCGCACGAGAGCGCCAAACTACACGTCGAATTCATCCGCAATATATTTACCGTCACCGAGTACGCGCCGGAAATTAGAGGCGAGATCTTGGCATTGGTCACGGACAAGCTATGCAAGATTGACGCACAGATGCAAATGGACATGGACGACATGGATGACGATTTGGAGGAGCGTCTCGTGAACGATGCCATCTACGACGAGGAAGACGACGACAACGCAAGCGATGCCGGCTCCGACTCAAGCGAAGGCAGTCTGGATCCGGAAGAGCAGCGGCTCAAGGACATCAGGGACATGATGCTCAAGCTCGACATCGTCATGGACCTGCAATTCTCATACTACGCCTCGATATTCGACAAGCGCGATGTCAAGGAATCAGACCGCATGTACGAAACTCTGCTTGCACAGTTCCAGTCCATCATCATCCCCACGTACCGATCAAGACACGCTCAATTCGTCCTATTCCACTTTAGCCAACTATCGCCACATTTCATGGAGCTCTTCGTAGACGCATGTTCCCGTCTCGCCATCGACGCAAACAGACCCCCCTTACTGCGCGCATCCGCATGCGCCTACCTCGCCTCCTACATAGCCCGCGGCGCCCACGTCCCCGGCTTCCTCGTCCGCGACGTCTTCGCCACTCTATGCTCGCAGCTCGAGCGCCTCCGCGCCACGCACGAGCCCAAGTGCACCGGCCCGGATCTCCGTCGCTACGGCACCTACTACGCCATCGCGCAAGCGCTCCTCTACGCCTTTTGCTTCCGCTGGCGCGACCTCATCGTCACCACCGACGGCAAACTGCCGTCCGACACGGACATCATGTACCACGACGGGGACTTCCTCTGGCACGGCAAAACACTCGAAATCCTCCGTCGCAACATCTTCTGCAAACTCAACCCGCTCCGCATCTGCGCGCCGGACATTGTAAAGCAATTCGGGCGGATTGCCAAACACCTCCGTTTTACATATGTTGATTCGCTCGTGGAGACGAATAAGCGCGTGAGGCTGTCGCGTAGTGTGGCGAGTAGTTATCTTACTGGGATTGGAGGACGCGAAACGGCGCTTACGGGGAAGAAGGGTGAGGAGGCTTTTCTGATGGATGCGTACTTTCCGTTTGATCCGTATGTGCTTCCCAGGAGTAAGAGGTGGGTGGAGGGGGATTATGTGCAGTGGAGTCCTGTTCCGGGGATGGCGGTGGAGAAGGAGGAGGATAGTGATGATAGTGATAGCGATGAAGAAGAGGAAGATGGGGATGGGGATGGTAGCACTGAGGATCATGATGGGGATGAGGGGGAGGGGGTTGATGACGTTGATGATGATGATGAGAGTACCGAGGCTAGTTTGTGAGTTTTTTGTCTTGTTCTGGCTCTGGCGTTTCACAAAGGGCGAAAATAAGGCTTAGGGAAACAGGGCGACATGCATGTACAAGCGTCAACTTAGGTCAGTCAGTTGGCGGCATATATGCGATACACGATATGCAGAAAGGCCCCTCCTACCGACCTATAGTCTCGATGAAATTACGAGGGCGTGGGCGTCGTAGATATTTGTACGGCCTTTTTCTTTGATCTGGGCGGGTTTTTCTTGTCAGATAGTTGGCTTCTTTTCCGTTGTACATGAGTTAGCAAAGCGTCGGAAAGGGAATTAAGGGAACAAAGCTTTGGGTTCGTGTACGATGACGAGTTACAATCGAGAAGAATAATAACAAAATGAGAATAGGAATAGGAATATGAATAAGAAAAAAAGTTTATATCTGTCGGATCGTGAGTATCGGTAGAGACGTCGGCTGCTTGACACTTCGGCCCGACTTCGGCCCACCTTGCGCAGAGCTTAGGTATACCTTCGTAGCAGCTATGTTCGTAGACAATCAATCAGAACCACCGAACAGAATGCATTCCTAGTTATCGTTATTTCCCTTTACGCACTTAGTGCAAAGCCAACCAACAATATCCTGTTTTGGTTTGTTTATCTTGTTTCAGTGGGAGAAGGGGGGTTTTTTTTGGAGATTATAAGACTTGAAATAAATGTAGACTCGAGGTATTTATGTACAATCAAGTCAATCAATACATGTATGTGCGTGCGTGCTAAGAAAACGTCATGTAATGTGCATGGATTTAGATTTTGGCAATCATACGAGGTTGCGATATTATGATAGGGGGGGTATGATGTAAGAACACCGAACCAACAATTACCACATATACCAGGTTTAAAACCCCTAGTACCACCCTCTCCACGTTTATACTACAAAACTCCAAACTCTAATTAAACGCCACTCGCAATGCGTAAACAACACTTGTATATCTACACATACATACAGTTACTACGCCCACGCCCCAACCATGGCCATAAGCAGCGCCCCACCCACAACACTCGCACAAGCCTGCACTCGCCTCTTCCCTCTTAGTACCACATAACTCTCATCGCTCAAAAAGTCCTCGGCCAACAACTCAACCAAGCCCGCAAAAAGCAACAACCCACTACTAACCGCGTTCATAAACCCTACCGTTAGCAAGCCCGCCTCGCTCGCGGGGTCATACAGCGTATGTATCGCGAGGCCAATAGCCTGGCCTATCGGCGTCGTGGCACCGTACGCGAGCGCCATGAGCCACGGTTTCGGCGAGCCGGGCGGGAAACGGATAGCGCTGATGCGGGCGCCGAGGGCGAAACCTTCAAAGGTTTGGTGGAAGGATATTGCGGTGAGCAGGACGGCGAAGGAGGTGCCGGTTGCAACGGAGAGGGCCATGCCGATGAAGATTGAGTGGAAGAGGATGCCGGCTTCGAGGAGGAGACATTGGAGGAGGAGCTTTTTGTTTTGCGCGTCGGTCTTCTCGGGGGAGATGGTGGTCGAGTGCGTTTTTTGGGGGGCGTGCGGGCCGCTGGGGAGGAGGCGTGTGGAGTCTTGTTGCGAGGAGGGGTCTTGTTGGAGTTCTTCGGGGGTGAGGTCGAGGTCGGAATCGTTGTCATCGTCGTCATCGTCGTCGTCGGAATGCGAGGAGTCTTTGGACTTGCGAGGTAGTAGGCCCGTCGGTCGTACCCGGTGTCAGGGGCGAAGCGACGGAAAACGATGGCGACCGCCCAGCCATTAGATGAGCAGACGATTCAACGTCGTGCAGCATGATGCCCGGTGCATGACCATTCGTAGCCGCAGTCCCATTGCTATACCTCCCATAGCTATGGCTTCTCTTGTGTCCCGGACGCGCATCCGCACTACCATCCAAACCCAAGTTGTCCAAACCAGCAGCGTGCACGTGTCCAGCGCCCCTAGCCGCAAAGAACATTTCAATGCCTACAACGACAAACACCGACGTCATGGCCACCAGGCCCGGCATGGCCGGATAGCGGTGGTTCCAGAAATGCGGGAGACATGGGTGGGTGAGGGACTCAAAGGCCGTGGGGAGCAGGTGGACAAAGGCCGTCGCGATGAGGACACCGGTTCCAAAGTGTCTGGATAGGAAGAGGAACTGGTGTGGTACCGGTATCGAGGGAAAGCGCTTGACGACAATGGGGAAGGAGCAGGCTAGGGTTTCTTGTGTCAGCGAAAGGATGGAGTGACAGTCTGTTGCAAGGGGAATATACGAACCAGCCGTGCTCAGGACAAGGATGAGAAGGAGGGCGAGTACATGAATGAGGGTGTTGTAGGTGCCCTTTCCGCCTTTAGTCTCGCACTTTGGCCTTTCGCCATCTTGTTGTCGTCGCAGTAGCTCGGCGTGGAGGATGTGCGCAGGGAGTTGGCTGAGGTCTGGAAAAGGAATATAGTTAGCATGCGACGACAGCGATTGGCAACAACAAAAAGATGGCCATGCGACAACGACGATAACAACGACAACAACTTACCTGCTAACATTCCCACATCTGGCGACATGGCGTTGGGTGAACAACGTATACTCTCCACCCCCAAGATTCTCGATGTGAGACGCGCGGACCCAAACGGCTGTCGTCGCCTTCCTTGGACTTGGACTGGACCTGGTTCTGGCCGCCTCGGGCCGGACGGACTCTCTTTGTTTCTGGTCCCCCTCCTTTTCTCTCTTTTATTCACGCACCCTTTCGGGCCTGCATCTCGACATCCAAACGCGTCTCACGTGCTGTCGTGGGCCTGGGGTCGCAAACATGTATCCTCAGCGCGACCGACGCCAAGACAATTATTTCGTCATAGGCTGGGTATGACTATGAGCGACGTCTGGCGCATACATACAGCATAGGTATTGTAGCCAGGTCAGAGGCGTAGGTTGGTCTATTTATGTTGCTTCCACTTTCGTCTTCGTTTGCGCCACCCCGTCAGTACTGCAGACGTTTTATGCATCATGGCAGCTTCACGTCGGTTGGAGTCCGGTCGGCCCCCCGGTCAAGGACGTCTGTACCCCGACGGCGATTGTGACTGCAACGGTGCAAGTCGCGCAGCCTTCCGCCATCGCACCCTAAAACACACCTCCATCAGCAATCTCTATGCAACATAAACTTGGTCCCCGGGTCTATTGTCGATCCTACTTGTGATCCCCATTTGGGTGCCAGATCCGCAAAAGGCCATCGCTAAGAAAAAAAATACATATAAGCTGGCGCCGCTATCAATCCACGCTCGTCTAAAATTATTCCTCGACCCCCCCCGGCTATAACAAGGCAGGCGGTCACAACTACACCAGTCTACACAATATTGACATCGGGCACAGGCACCCTGTCAAACCCGACATCGCTTCTGCAGCCTAACACCAATCGGGTTCATGATAGTTTCACCTCTCGAGCCCCTCAATCGTCTCCAGTAGCAGCAGAGACGATACAGCCGCAGCCCACCGCCGTCTCGGCAATGTCAGAATCAACAGGATGGAAAACGAGCATCGATTAGGAAAGTCTGACCTAGTCACCATTTGCACCCTTTGCCCGGTCGCGCCTTGCTAGGCCCCACCATATATCGTCTGTCTCCAACAGGACAGTAGCTAGTCCTGCGACGAGAGAAGAGAGCTGGAGGGGCTGCTGCTGCTGCTAGGGGAAGAGTAGGCGGGCCGAACCGACAATGCCTACACAGCAGCAGGACTTCTTGTTCGTCGACGCCGCTCAAGCAAAGACATCTCGCCAAGGTCGCCGCAATGCTCGTTCGTTTGTTATGCAGAATGCGCGGAGGAAGAACCCATGGTCTACCAGCAAACATGCTGCCAAGCAGAGAAAGACTGGAAGCAGCCCAGAGGGAGGCAACAGTCCCAGCAGTATAACTACCTCGGACTCGACTGTTACACCCAAAACTGCCACGCCAAGTCCACCAATCATGGCCTATACGCCAGACTATTTCCCCTCGCAGGACCTGCCCGATTCTCATTTGACCAAAGGGGAAGTTTGCCCGGACTGCCACATTTTCAGGTGTCGCTCTGGCCAGCGGTTGTGCCCCAGATGTATCCTACTCAACCCTCCCTCTCCGGTTGAGGTACCCAACAATCAATTGTTCGATCCCTTTCGTACCTCGTCTGTCGAGATTACAAAAACAGTCTCCGAATTATTGACTCATTGTAAGTTTCCTTTGACCTGGTGTGTGATCGTCGTGTGGGGTGTGTTGTATTTATAAACATGGTGGAGACCCGTGGCTATGGATTCTTACTTAGTCATGTTACATGTTACATGTTTTACTAACCAACACCAATGCAGTCTCCACTGAAATGGCACCTGGTATCATTGCAGTCGACATTCGGCATCGGTCGACGCTGATGAAGTCGGACTGGTTTGGCACGGCAATAGGTAATCCTGGCTTCATGCACAGTCTGCTCTCGACGATAGCGTTGCATGCCTACGTGTTCGGCAAAGGCACCTTCGATGCCATTCTGTACCATAGGGCCCAAGCCATCGCGGCCGTGAATGCGGCCATATTGACTCCAGAAGGCATCTCCGACGCAAACATCGGAGCCGTGTTCAATCTGCTGACGGTGGAGGAGAGCCTGTTGTTGCCGACGTTTGCGCTGAACGAAGATCACATAGCCCAGCTGCAGATACATCAAAAAGGGCTGCAGCGCATGGTGCAGCTGCGGGGCGGACTGAAGGAAATCAAAACAAATCGCATTCTCCAGGCTTTTATGCTTTGGTGTGTAGAGCAGTTTTCTTTGTTGAATACATATTGACCTAGGGGACCTTGACTCTGGGAAACCTTGGGATCGGTGTGACATGTGGCTTACTGAGCAACAGGCATTCGACCGCGCACGCCATCGCCTCCTTCCAAGCGCCCAACCCCTCCACTCTAGACTTTGTCAGTACAACAAGTTTCCCCCACCACCCACGCGGCTACCGCCCAAACATCTCACACCACCTAACCGACTACTGCCGCCACGCCGGCGTCAAAGAAACCCTCAACGCCCTCGTCGAATCCGTGCTCATCCTAATCGCCGACCTAAACGTCTGGTTCAGCGACCCGGAAAGCCCACTCGACCCTCTCGACATCCAAAACTTCGCCTGTGTCCTAGAATGTCTTCTACTAACCTGGCTGCGAGAAAACGAACAAGCCGTCACGCCCCTTGAAGACGCACTATGCGTTGCCCTCCTCATCTTCACCGTGCGCACAACTGAGGCGATGAAACTGCAGTCGCACGTCCATTTGTTACATTTTGCGGCTAGCAAACGGCTGGAGAAAGCGCTGAATTGTACGATTCGAGCCGAATGGCAACATTGTCCCGACCTCCTCCTCTGGATCCTGTCCATCGGCGCGATATCCGCTGAACCGTCGCCGGAGAGTACGTGGTTCGTGCACCAGACGTCGATCGCATGTGCGGAATTCGGTATCCTTTCTGCAGAAGCTTTGTTACGACGACTGCACCTTTGTGGCTGGGTTAGCTATAAGCTCAATGAAGCGGCTTGTCACCTCTGGGACCGAGTTATTAATCTCAGGTATAGATGAACCTCTTGTTTTTACTTCCCATTCTTTCCCTTTTTCTGCCTTACCCCCTTCCTTTTTGAAAGACGTTGTGTTTTTTTTTGGTGGTACATTCACTTATACTTTGGCCGTCTTTTGGCTGCGGAATTTATAGGCGAACGCCATACTACGATAAGCCGGCCTCCTTTTCGAAAGATGATGATGATAATGATGATGACGACGCCAATAGCCCCGTTGGGCCGCTGCAGCATCACGTTGCGCAGCCGCAGTTTGACGCTTGGGAGAGTATTGATTGGGCGGCGTTGAGTGAGGGGCATGCTGAGTATCGTAATGCGACGACGGTGGAGCGGCCTGGAGGGGTGGCAGCAGCAGGAGGAGGAGATGCGGTACCCGCGCCGATTGAGACACCGCAGAACGCTAGGAGTGGTGGGTATGAGTTTGGTTGTACGTATGTTTAACCCCCCCCAACCCCCCCCCCCCCCCACATACACACACCCTGCATTTCTCCTTTCTTCGTTTGCCGCTACATACTTGAGTGCTTGGCAGTTTTCGGTAAAGAGGAGATTGTGACTAACGTGTTTTTGTGTCGAGGAATATAGCGCTTACGGCTCACCCTTTATACGCTCCGTGGATGAAGGATCTATCCCTTAAGCCTGGACTTTGAAGTGAGAATTTTGTCGTTGTTGTTGTCGTTGTTGCGGTAGACATGTATCATAGAAAAACAAGATTTTTCTTCTTGTTACGTGGGGTATACGCGAGGGGACGGGGGGGGAAGGCCAGGTTGGGAGAGAGGGGGGACGATGGAAGAGAGGAAGTCCTATATC